TCTGTTTCATTTGTGTATGTATCAGCCACGTGGTCAAGTTACATACCGTTATCACCACTTCATTGACTGGGGCATCAGAGAGAAAGAGAGAGAGAGCAGCAGTGGTACAGTGACATAGAGAGTGAACAAGGAGAGTGAGCAGTGGTGGCGAAACAACTGGTGAATCAGAGAAATCTAAAATTTTTGTCTGATTGTTTCATAGTGGTTACATAAGCACAAATATACACACTGCCGTACAACCCCGCTGCTGATTGTGTTACCATATACGCTGGCTGAGAGCTCTTTAAATGATGTGCAGCCACTGCCTAATCCAGCACCACCCACTCTGTCCTCTCCACATTTGTTTACAACAGACAGCAGACAAATGGCATATATTACACTTTTACAACCATCAAGGAAGTTATTTGTCCTGTGGTAATCCAACTATCTGTGTGAACAAACATCATATTTGTACCTTAATTATAAAATATTCTTGTTTTATTTTGTAGTACATACCTTGACCTATTTGAGGAAGAATACCTCTCTGATGACCCTGATCTCCAGGAAGCCATTTCAGGTTGTTTTTTTCAAGATTCCAGCGCAAGTGAGAGGTCAGTAGAAGATATTATATAAAATCTAAAATTAAATACTTCTGGAAAAGCAAGAAAAAAGTCAAAGTCTTTAACTTATCCCTTTACCTTATCACAAACATTTTTGGAAAATGGATTTTAATCAATATTAATAACAATTTGTGGATGTTGGATTATAGTTCAGTATGTGAGTTATTGCCATTGACACTAACAATTTGTTTTATTGTTTATTATTGTTTCAGTGATTTAAAGATGACTTTAGAGAGAATAATGGAGCAGATTTCATCGAGAGTATACGATGACAGCACTGTGCGCTTCAATATCATAAGAATGCAACTCCAAAGGTACTTATGGTTAAATTAATTCTCTATTGGATTTCTTTGGATCAATAAAAACTTTGTACCTGAAATGATTGATGATGATTGATGATGCAAGATTAATATAAGACATTTCAGGTTTTTAATCTATAATACATTTTTGGAAATTTACTGATTACTAACAATGATAACAATCAACCTGAACATTTCTGATGTAACCATTTGACATGCAATGTTTAATTTCATTTGATAACAGCGATGAAAGACAATGGATACTTCTATACTGGCCAGATTATGGCAATGTCAATCGCCCATGGGGGACAGAGTCGATGTTTCCTGTCTGAACTTGAAGAGTGTCTTCAAAAAGGTCCGGACAATGTAAAGGTTGAAACTGAACATATTACTGATGAGAAAACAAGGTCACTGGTGCAGTCGGTGAGCATATTTTCCTTTGACTCTATTGCATTTATAAACAAAGTATTCATTTTGCATGCACTCATTAACATACACGTTAAACTTAATAAAAAATAATAAAAGTCAATAAATATTTACTGTTCCCATATCCTAATGTTATTTTAATATTTTCAGATCTTACAAGCTGAGACTGAATCACAACTGCAAGATTCAGTTGCACAGGCAGCCAGCTTGATCAGTCTTGCTGGTCACACTGTTTACATAACACTGCAAAACAAACAAGAGACTGCTTTGGACTTGGCTCACTGGTATGTCCTCCAGCAGACCCGTGCACCTTTTGAAAGGTATGTTCATATATGACCACATGCTATAATTGTAGCCTGGCAGAAAAATGAAGGCTAGTTTCATGGTGGAAAAATGGCAGATACAAGAAAAAGCTTACTTTTGAGTTGCTGTCATAGAAACTATGTTACCACTGTAGTCAAACAATTTCAATGATGTAGAGTTCCATTTTATAGTGCACCAGTGCAAGTCAAAGTTTTTATTTATTTATTTTTTAATTCTTTGTGGGGGGCGCCCACATGGCTCTGTTGGTAGAGCATGTGCCCCAGGTACAGCCCTTTACATATTAACATTAAAAGAAACACCTGAACAACACATTCCAATTTGTTTCCCTTTTAATAGGTTCAGAGATGGCTTAATGTTTCTAGGTGTCCTAGATGCTCTCCAGAGATACCCTCTACAGGTGAAGTGCCTTTTTGTGAGGGCTGAAAAGAGTTTAACAGCAGCTAATGTAGAGAATCTCTTCCTGATCATTCACTCTGAAAGAGGCAGTAATGCATTCCAAGAAGAGTGCCGTACCCTGGCTTTCTGGCAAGACTATCTTCAGGATTCTGAATGTAAGTTTGGCATTTTGGATCATAGTAGTACATGACATAAAAAACGTAAAAACGTAAATAATCATTTTATTTGAGATGCTCCACTATGTAAGGCAGTTTATATGAATTATAAATACGTACCTGTACACTCCTTTTGTCCATTGATATCCCTTAAACGGTACAACTGAAAGATGAATCATTTCAAACTGAGACTTGAAACCAAATAACAATGTTCAATTTTGTAATATTTCTCAAAATTACTTATTTATATCTGAGTCTATATGTGACAATGTATGACACCGCAGCTAAATTCTAAGTCCCGCATGTGAATCAGCTGAGCAGCTGGTATGTTGTACCTTCAAAGAGAAATAAATAAAATAAAAAACAAATGTGTTCACACAGTGTGAATGAATTGTCTTATTACCTTGCAGCCTATAATGATTTTTATATAATAATAACTTATAATAAGTTTGTAACTTATTTATTGTACCATGTACTATAGAGATTACTGTTGGCCTGCATCAGCCTCCATCCCCATACACTTTAAATACTACTTACCTTGGCCTTCCTCTCTGAGATGCAAAATGAGTGCCCATGCCATGAGCTTGTACATCAACTTCCATCTGGAATGTTATTTCCGCCAACATCTCCCTTAGAGACTCGTAAATTCCTTCAAGAATGACGCATAATGTTCTTTCGGCAATGTTTTGTTGAACATTATTACTCATAAGCACTATGAATGTCGCAATAATGGAAATATTGGCGGGCCCCCTTCCCGTAGCATCATTGTTGTATCTCATCGATCTCTAGTTGTGATAGGAGTTTTCAATTGCGGATGTTGGAACACTGGGCTAACAGCTGTTCCGTTGTTAGCCTTGATTGTGGGTTTCGAAGTAAGTCCCACATTCGCTGCATGTATCCCTTCTCTCTGCGGTTGCTCATATAGTAGCATTCCAACAGTTCCTTGTTTTCCGCCCTTGTCCATCTATGTCTTGTTCCAGTAGCCCAATTCTCATCAGGTTGCCGTGGTTTCCTAGCACCTGACGCGGACCTTGTTGACCCAGGCGACGTCCGAGCCGGTGTAACTATCATTTTGTACTCTCATGTTGCTGACTTAGGCCTGATACATTAAGCCCAAGGATCCTCACTGGTGCAGTTGTATTTGCCCCTGTCTACCAGGCAACATGGTGAATAAAGGGGCACCCAGGAAATACACCAAGCTCTCCATACCTGAAGCACTCGAAACTGCCAAACAGAGACTAACAGCACTGGCCACCCGGTTGAAGAGATACACCAAGGAGGCAGAGGCCAGGAGAATAAACAAGCTGATGGTCTCAAAGAGAGGCAAGATGATCAGAACTGAAGGGGTTGAACTACCAGAGGGCAACATAGGTGATGCCCAAGACAGCTACAAGTACCTTGGTATCCCACAGGCTAATGGAAACCATGAGGAAGCCGCAAGGAAGTCAACCACAATCAAATACCTCCAAAGAGTTAGGCAGGTCCTGAAAAGTCAGCTGAATGGCAGGAACAAGATCCAAGCCATCAACATGTATGCACTACCAGTCATCAGATACCCTGCTGGGATCATAAGCTGGCCAAAGGAGGAGATAGAAGCCACAGATATCAAGAGAAGAAAGCTCCTCACCATGCATGGAGGGTTTCACCCCAAATCCAGCACCCTGAGACTGTACGCTAAGCGGAAAGAGGGAGGGGGAGGACTAGTGAGCATCAAGGCCACTATCCAGGATGAAACATAAAAAATCCAAGAGTACATCAGAAAAATGGCCACAAAGGATGAACTGCTGAGTGAATGTCTCAGGCAACAGAAACCCGATAAGAGTGCAGAGGAAGAGGAGCAGACAACCTGGAGGGACAAGCCCCTACATGGCACGTACCACCGCCAAATTGAAGAAGTGGATATCGAGAAGACCTACCAATGGCTGGAAAAGGCTGGACTCAGAGACAGCACAGAGGCACTGATCACGGCAGCACAAGAACAGGGCCTAGGTACAAGAGCCATAGAGGCCAAGATCTACAAGAGTAGATCTGACCCAAGGTGCAGACTATGCAAAGATGCCCCTGAGGCAGTCCAGCACATAGCAGTAGGGTGTAAGATGCTAGCCGGGTCAGCGTACATGGAGAGACACAACCAAGTGGCTGGAATAGTGTACAGGAACATCTGTACCCAGTATGGAATAGAAGTACCCAAATCCCAATGGGCCGCACCACAGAAGATGGCTGAGAACAACAGGGCCAAGGTGCTGTGGGACTTCAGCTTCCAGACTGACAAACAGGTCCTGGCTAACCAACCAGACATAGTGGTGGTAGACAAGGAGCAGAAGAAGGCGGTGGTGATAGATGTGGCCATACCAGCAGACGCCAACATCAGAAAGAAGGAACACAAAGAACTGCTGAAGCAGATGTGGAAGGTCAAGGCGAGCGTGGTCCCCGTGGTAGTAGGAGCACTTGGGGCAGTGGGCCCCAAACTGGGGGAGTGGGTCCAACAGATCCCAGGAACAACATCAGAAGCCTCAGTCCAGAAGAGCGTAGTCCTAGGAACAGCTAAGATACTGCGCAGAACCCTCAGACTCCAAGGGGAGAGGACGCGAGCTTCAGGATGACACACACACACACACACACACACACACACACACACACACACACACACACACACACACACACACACACACACACACACACACACACACACACACACACACACACACACACAGGAATCAAACATGGGATCATGGGGCACATGCTCCACCAAGTGAGTTATCATGGTTACCTGAAAGCAGAACAATAAAATCACACCAATAGCAATTCAAGGCCAATTTTATTGTGCCAGTCTTGTTTAAGAACATCACTGATTACAGCAGCACTGTAGGGTACTAATGATCAGACAGTGAAGCAGCAAATCATATCTATAGGAAAAATCAGCAACTTTTGGCTATAGAATATTTTCTATAAATATAGGATACGTTTTTTTTAAGGAGCAAAAAGCATTGCTTAGTTTTAAAGAACAGGTAGTCATATCAAAAGTAATCAGACATGGTATAATAATCAGTGGGGTAAAAACATTCTGCCGTTGGATACATTAATGGCATATTTATGGTGTGCACAACTCCAAAAACATTTGTTCCATAAACAAAGATTGCTTGTAAAGATTGTACAACTCATTGTTGGTGTTTATAGTTTTAACAAAACATTTCATATTATAGTTCAGAGAAAACAACAGATTCTCAAAACTGCTCTTCCCTTTGAGTCAGTAATTATAAGAAATCTCTCTCTGGAGTAAGGAGTTTCTGTCTTTGTACAATGTGCCATCCAAATGAAATACACAAATAAATAAAACAAGTCTAAAAGGACTTGAATTAAACCTTCCTTTTACCCCCTGTAGAATTTCCCTCAACCTCCCAGCCCCAGGAGTGCTACTGTTCCCTGCCCTTCAGTTTCTGAACACTGTGGTTTAATGAACTTCCCCTCCAGTAACAATTTTAGGGTTGTTGTGTTTTCTCAAACTCTCTGAATTTACCCCCAATGACTTGTTTGTTGAATGTTTTATAATGGTACATCTTACTTTTATACTGCATCAGAATAAGCTTGTTGAAGTTATTAGACCATACAGTATTATAGGAGATAATGGTGGACTAGACATAGGGTTTATACAGTAGACCCAATAAGTTTTGTTTTTGTTGTTTGAGCTTAAAATTAATGTGAAACCATTCCCTGTGATAAAATCCATTTCGTTCTGGTTTAATAAAGGGATGGAGCCCCTATAATAAAAGTATTATGGAACAAAGTATTCTGCATAAAAAAACATGTTTCATTTTGTTGATCAGGTCATTCCCAAGTTAAAATGACATTTCTTTATTTTATGTCTTGCTTTTGATTTTAAGTTTAATCTGAGGCACTTTGTGAAGTCTGATCCTGAAAGGTGGTGTATAAATAAACTTTTCTAAACTCACAGATCACAGGCAATCATTACAAAAAAATAATAGTCAACAGGGAAAATACGTGGGGGTTTGAAGGTGCACAAAAGAGGGAGTGTAAATAAGCTGCACAGATTGTAACAGTCACATTTCACAGAAGGTGCAAATTCTCTAACTGTAATGTCTGAAGTTAAACTGAAGTTAATTTACCACCGTCCTCCGCAATATCAGCTCACATCATAAATATACCTCTATTCAAAACACAAACCAAAAACTCACATTGACACATGTGCATGTGAACCCACACACACACACAAATAAATCTGAATAAACATTTTAGTACTCAAGATCCAAACTCAGGTCAAAGTGTACGGGAGTGGTAGAGGAAATCAGTCATAGAAACTCTGGTTCTACCTGTCCACCTGTGTTTTGATTATTCAGTGCTGTCCTTCGCTCTTCATTCTACAGGCCACAGCTGTGATCAGTGCTGCTCCCTTCCCACTTCCATCCTCTGACTTTTGGAAAGTTACCCGACACTGCGGTGCCAAATCCTGCAACGTCTCCTGCATGATGCTGGAGAAACTTTAGGAAGAGTGAACAAGAGAAAAGGCGTTAAAAATCTCCCGTCTATATTTGATGCACACTTTGTTATAAAGTAAGGATGCATATGAAGTAGCTGTGATAAATTTAGGTAAACTTTTGCAAACATGTTTAAAACTTAAGAAATACATGTTTTTGTTAGGACATGATTGCTCCTTACTGTGGGTGCGTCTTATAAAGAGTGCCATCCACTCCCACGGTGATGGACAACTGATTGAGGTTGCGGTTCTGCCGTATCTTGTCAACCACAGCAGCTAAACCAGCGCCACAGAGCTGAGCTGCGCGGCGGGCAACCACACTACAGACCTCCTTCACCAGTACGCTGTCATCACACGTGGAGCTGGTGAGGCCCAAGTGCTGCAGAATTGAGCGGACCTGTCTCATGGCCAGACGGTCTCTTTGGGATCAGAGAGAATTACAAAGGTTTACTTATGAACGAGCCAACATACAGGCTGACAGACAAGTTAAATACATTAAACTGCAAATAACTTATTGCCTCTGTAGTGACTACTTTTACCATGGTGATTAAGTTCTATCTAACCTCTATACAGCACCTTCGTAAGAATATAGATAAAAAAAATGTTAATGATAAAAACAATATTAAGATAAAACCATAAAACTGGTATAAAGATCACAAAGTATCAAATAGACACAGTAACGTTAATGATAAAAGGAATTTAAAGAAAGATCATAGAAAACATATCTTGAGACTTCATTTTTAGAACATTTAGTAAGCTTGTTTTACAAGACCTAAGGGAATGGTTCGGAACATACCATAACATATAAGCAATCAGAAATGTATGAACAAGTAAAATCATTTTAAAATCAATCCTCAGTAACACAGACAGCCAGCGTGATGCTGCTAACACTGGAGCAATGTCATCCTGGCAACAAACGCTCTTCTCCTGAGCAGTTAAGATTGGTTTGTAATAACTAACCCTGGATCTTTACTGTGAATGCACTTATAATGTAGCAGCCAGGGGTGGTAAAGCCATAGTTAGTGAAGCAAGACGATTTCATTAGCGTGACTGCTAAGCTTGCTTTTCAATGGAGCCCCTAGGCCTTAAATTTTCAATTATAAACCGTTGAAAGTATTATTTTTCTTATGTGACTCAAACTTGTGTGGGCTGTGACATGATGACAAAAGCATTGATTGGGTCTTTAAGCTACAGCTTCTAATGTAGAGTGTTCTAAGGCCTCTGCTTCGGTACCATGGCCACAGTCATTCTGTTTTCGGTTTTCCATCCCATTCTAGTAGACAATATTTCAGGGATGCCTGAAGAGTATTTCATAATATCTGGGACAAACATTCACTTTGGCCTCAAGGATGAATTGATTTTAGTGGTCAAAGGTCACGGTCACTGTAACCTCACAAAACATGTTTTTGGCCATAACTCAGGAATTCATACTATGACGAAATGACGAAGGGGAGATTGCGACCATTCTTTACATTTGGTCAGATACTGAATTGGTGAAACTGTGATGATTGTATAGCTCTTCTTTGCTGCTAAGTTCAAAATGCATGTGAAGCATCCATGTTTTAAATCTGTAGCTTCTTAGCAGCAACATCCACATTTAAAGCACTGCCTACTGTCACGGCTACAACGTTGTTTTCTTTCAGAATGAACTTTATTGGCCATTCATGTAAATACTTACAAGGAGTTTGACTTAAATAATGAACTTACACGCTAATAGACATACAGCAGAACAAGAACAAAAAAGCTGAACAAAGTCGAGTCAAATTAACTCTGTATCCTGAGTCTCTTCAGGAAGAACAGTCTATTCTGTCCCTTCTTGAAGAAGCTGCAGGGTTGAGTCCATTCCAGTCCATGTCAATATAGTGATAACTCTCACCCTTCCAAAATATACACTTAAAGCTCCAGCGTGTAGGATTTAGTGGCTTCTAGCAGTGACGTAGCAGATTACAACCAAACTGCGGAAAGACTTAACCCAAATTGTGTAAAGAAGTCAGTGAAAGGTGGAGGAGGAAGTGTCATGGTTTGGGGAATGTTTTCTGCAGCAGGAGTTGGGCCTCTTATACAGCTACATGACAGAGTGAATGCAAATGTCTATCATAACCTTCTTCGACAACATGTGGTGCCAGCAATTTTCATGCAGGACAATGCCCCCTGTCACACAGCAAATCGGGTAAATGATACTGAAAACACTGAAATAATTAAATGGCCAGCCCAGATTCCTGATCTAAACCCAATAGAAAACCTCTGGAAAATCCTTGGCAGTGTGAGAGACCAGTGATGTCCTGTGGTCGGAGAGGTGCTGAAGTCATTCAAAGCAACGTACATATTCACTTCCTACTAATTGTTGACTGTTGTAACCTTCAGAAAATCTTGTTGTAATCTTTCCCGTGCAACAGTCATTGCTGTTTTGATCACTGGTTTTCCGCAAAATAAAGGTTGTTTTGTTGAAGTGCCTTGGTTATTTTGTAAAACACTGTTCTAGTAGCATGGTATAACCACAACAAAAATTGAAGATTACATTTTTTCCAATAGAGCCTCCTAAATGTTACACACTGGACGTTTAATAGAAGAAAATCATAAATTATAAACTTTTGCAGAGAAAAAAAAAATCTTTTTTGCACTCTGTCCTGCACGTGTCTTGTCTCTGTCCTCTCTATTAACACCCTGCCATCTGACCAACCCACCACATACTGACACATCTCCTCTTCTATATGAACAGACTGCTGTATTCAGGAATCATGGTCCCTGCGTAAATTAATTTTCCCCCTGTGGTCTAAATGTGTTTGAGAACTGAAACACCTGAACAGGCTGAACCTGTAAGCTACACTGAAAGGTCAAACAATTAGAAAACTTGAGAAATTAGTTTCTTTATTCTTGATGTATCCATTCATTTGGCAGGAAAACAATTCCAAACAAATGGATACTGGATAAAGGATTATTGAAACATTTTTGTTTGCAAGGTTTTGACTGTTGGCCGAAATATTTATGCATTTAAGCATTCACGCAAGGAGCATGTTTACGAATGTGTTATTTTCTCTACACAGCTCATTATTAACTTGGCCTTGCCAGTTTCTAGCAGCAAAGGCATTATACACCATAAAGGGGGTTACAGGTTAGACACCAAATTCAAGTTTTAATTCTTTAAGTCTGAGTTTTTAGAATAGAGATCTATAAGTCAGCTTCTTTGCAAAACCTTTTTAACATAAATAACCACATTCACAATTTCCTTTATATTATGTTGATCTTTGCATCTCTGATGTTTCAGCTATGAGTAGCAGTACACAGTTGAGTCACTGGACCCAACTTGGAAAGTGATAGTAGTAGTAATAAAGGATGGTAACGATCACTGGCTTGTTCACTTCCCCCAGTAGGGCTGTGCGATATGACCATAGATTTCGTGTGACAACAGAAAAACGTGTATTCATGTTTTGCTCTATCATTTTTTTTGTTGCGTCACAAATCACACCCTTACTTATGAGAAAAATATGAGCTCTGAAGGGGTTGAGAAACAATCAAAAGTGAAACCTACCTCGTACTGAAAATAAAAAAATTCTCTGTCTCGCTCTCCCTCTCAGTGTTTCTCGGCAAAATGCATAGTAAAGTCTTATGTGGAAGACACTGAGACAATAATATTTTATATTTTGTTACAAGCTTAATACAATACAATGAATGTAACTTAATTTGGCCTTGGTGTTGCTCACCGACTTTCCACCTCTCTTCTCCTCAGTACTCATCCATTCTGTGATAAATAGGTTGTTAAATAATAATAAATTATTGTTCTATTCTTACCATACAGTTACCATGGCGAACAGGGGTGAACTGAAGAGACACTGAGACTGGAACGGGTTTTTAACACTAACCTTTCAATCTGTGACAGGAATTTTGTCTCGAAAATGCCCCGAGTCTTGAGTCGCTCAGACAGTTTGCCTCTGAACAGCAGGCCCTTAGCAGTGAAATCCATTAGGACGTTCCTCACTATCTCCCCCAGGTACATGCCACTTACCATCTTCTCATACCTCAGAGAAAAAGACAAACAGAAAACGTACACATACATAAACTTTACATATTTCACACACTCTATAATCAAACTGATACAGAACTGAAAAAAAAAAGACCTAAACTCAACTGAGGCTCGAACTTATTTCCAGGAATGAAAGCTCGGTGAGCAAACAAAGGGGTACTGGTGTCCAGTTGTTACAGAGGTGGATTTCGTTGTAAAAAATTATCAGGAGGTGTGACAGGGGCAGCAATCACTTATGCCCAATGATAACGACTCCTCTCATCAGAGACAATTTCACAACAGGCAGTCCAGACAAGAACAAAAACATTTGATTTAATAAAACCAAATACTCTAATTCATCGGTTTTTGATTTCATCAATCAAGGCACAGGCAGCAAAAGACAAAAGACAAATGTCTGCACAGTGACTTAAGGGCCACGTTTAGGTGGCATAAATTAGCAAAAGCTACAATCCTGGCCAGTGTTATCAGCACCTCTCATCGTTGTGCTCTCGTTAACCAAATTTTTTCTGCCATTGACTGAATTTTTTTAACAATGAAGGAAAAATCTGAAAGCCGTCTGTGATTTAGATAGAACATTGCTGCATTATTATTTTCAGGTGATTCTACACTAATGAAAACATAGTTTTGCATATAATATTGAATTTTCACCATATTCTGTAAATAGAGCCCACTAAATCTTATATACTGGGCATTTGAGTAGATACTTCAGTAATTTTTGCTAAAGTTTGCTGTCCTGCCCCATCAAATTGAATCAAATCTATTTACATTTTATAGCTTTCAGTGAACCATGCCTCCAATTTAATATCAATTTTGTTACACCAAATGCAATGTGAGTAAGAACACATAAGTGGTCTCAGCACGTTTTTATTTTTTTTATTTTAGGAGAATTTAAAAAAATATTGATGAATGAGTCCTGATTATCCTAATTATATTCCAGTAAGTAAACTCAAATCCAAAATTCTGCACGAACATGTCGCTTAGGGTAAACAACACCACTGTCAGCCAAGTAGAGCAGTGGATTTGTTTACACAAACAAGGCAGTACATTGCAGGCAATGAGGTGGTCATATGATCATTGACAGTACTGATATAGTATTGCTGACAATGAAGAGGAATTATGCACAACTCAAAAGGCTGTTCTCTGTGGTTCTGTCCTTGGCCCCCCTGTTGCTTGAAAGTTTATAAGGTATTTGTGACTACATGTGATACTGTTTGTGAGTTTGGGACAGTTTGGTTGTTTGGACTTTATTAATATGCCATAAATTACCCATCCAGTACCTCTGTTTCCCAGGGTTGTTAGAGCAATTATCAACAATGTGATCAAACTGGGTGCAGAAGTCATCAAGTTCACCGTTGTCACCAAATGCTCCCCACTCCATGTTGACACACATACGCCCAACATCACCCTCCACCAGTTCGATGTTCTGCATTTCCTCCATATAGCAGGCATTTGTCCCTGTGCCTGAATTAAATATGGGTGGAAAGGTATCACAAGTACATTCATGTAAGTAAAACATCAGTCAGTTTTTCATATTAAAGTGAGAACTGATCCACTCAAAAAACACACTCAATGCTTGCACAAAGTTAACTGATCTTCAGGTTTAAAATGAAACAAAGAGACTGACTTCCAGAAAGGAAGGTGGGGGGTAGACCGACTTACCTACAATGAGTCCCACTTCACATTTGGGGTCCTCATATCCGCAGGTCATCATGGTTCCTACTGTGTCATTAACCACAGCTACAAAGTTCAAGTCAAAGTCCTGGAAGCAGTAACAATAATTTTGTAATACATTGTCGTCTTTACAAACCAGTAAAAATAATGCTTTACGTGGAAATCTTTAATACTAGAAACATACAGTAGTAGCCTAATTGCCTACACTAATAACCACCCTGGCTTTAAATCAGGAATCCTAACACATAGCAGACCTATAGCTTTAAGCAGGTACATATTGACTGTGCTGAGATTCTTTATGTTGGTTTAGTGCTGCCTCTTGCACTAATATAATTGGAAAACAGGAGGTGACTTTGTTAATCTATATACTTTTACCCCAAGGCTACTTTAGTTTTTGAGAATGTCTGATTTTATTATTGCCCTAAGGTCTTGACAAACATACATAGTTTGCATATATATCATCTATTTCTGTATTTTTAATTAATTCTGTTTTGTTGCTTGATTTTGCAATTTTAGTGGTGTATTTACTGCCGAATCAAAGGAACCATTTCAACTTACTCTGTACATCACATACAATAAAAATCAGATCACTGCTCTTATGAGTTCTTACACAAGACAAAGAAGACTATATGACAGACAGGGTACAGCCTGTGTTTAAGGCAGCGGTGTTTGTAATCCAGTTTGGCCACTGGGGGTATTCCTTTTTATTATGTTCTTGAAGTGTCAACATTCACAGGCCACACTTTCTCAATAAAATTTCTGACAATGTATTTGTGATGTGTGCACTGACCTGTCTGCGGCGGACAGCAGCTTTAAGTAACGTAATGACATCTTGTCCAACACAGCCACTGGCTTTAAAACCCTTTGTCCACCTCAGGAGAATGCCCTGGAAAAATTACATGTTGTGAAAAAAACAGCATTTGACTATACTAAAGGAATGTAAAGGTCACTGCAATAGCTACTGTGAGTTACTTTTATTGTATATTCTTAATAGTACATTAGAAATAAAGATAAATTAAAAAAATATATAAAAAATACAGTATAGTGGTAATTGTTGCCACCATCGACATACATCGATCAGCCGTAACATTATACAGCCCCAGACTAACAAACTGTGATGCACTGTGTGTTCTGACACCTTACTATTAGAACCAGCATTAACTTTTTCAGCAGTTTGAGCTACAGTAGCTCGTCTGTTGGATCGGACCATGTGTGCATTAGTTAGCCATGGGGACCCTGTTGCCGGTTCACTGCTTGTCCTTCCTTTGACCTTTTTTGATAGTGACCACTGCAGACCAGGAATATTACTGGCAATAAACTGGACTGGGCTAAGAACACTTAATGCTGAGAATGTTTTATGAGTATGTGGTAGCCAGTGCTATCCTGTTGGCTGTTGTCTACTGGGGCAGGTTAAGGGTAGCGGACGCTAACAGACTCAATAAACTGATCCGCAAGACCAGTGACAACCTCTCTGACAGCGATGTCAGAGAGGAGGATGCTGTAAAGCTACATCATCTTGGACAATGTCCCCTATCCACTCCATAATCAACTGGTCAAACACAGGAGTACATTAAGTGCAAGACTCCTTCCGCTGAGATGCACCAGGAAGTCACTCCTGCCTGTGTCCATCAAACTGTACAACTGCTCCCTCAGAGTGTCAAAACTCATTAGAGTCATTAGTCATTAAACTGGCGCTTGAAATGTCTCTGGTTAATGTGTAATAATTTACAGTCCTGCTCACCGTGCGATAATTAGCAAACACAAGACCTCCAAAGAGTATAAGGCCATCTCCAAAGACCTTGGTATCCCTGTTTCAACAGTGCGTAATGTTATTAAGAAGTTTGCCAAGCATGGAACTGTCAAGAACCTCCCTGGACGTGGGGGGGAAGAGAAAAATTGATGAAAGAAGTCTTCGAAGGTTGGTGCGAATGGTGGACATAACACCACATCAAACATCCAAAGACCTGAAGGCCAACCTGGAACAGTCTGGGGTCATGGTTTCAACAAGTACCATACGCCGCACACTAAACCAAACAGGGCTTCATGGGCGAAGGCCAAGGAAGACACCATTGCTGAGGAAAAGACATAAAAAGGAACGACTAATCTTTGCCAAAGAGTACCTGGACAAACCACAATCCTTCTGGGAAAATGTTCTGTGGACAGATGAAACAAAAATAGAGCTTTTTGGCAATGAACACAGTTTGTTTACAGACGGCGCAATGAAGCCTACAAGGAAAAGAACACCCTACCAACACTTAAGCATGGTGGAGGATCCATAATGCTGTGGGGCTGCTTTGCTGCATCTGGTACTGGAGGCCTTGACCGTATCACAGGAATCATGAAATCAGAGAATTATCAAGAGATTTTAGAGTGAGATGTCCTACCCAGTGTAAGAAAACTTGGTTTGAGTCAAAGATCATGGGTCCTTCAGCAAGACAAAGACCCAAAGCACACATCCAAAAGCACGCAGGAATGGTTGAAAAGAAAAAAAAATGGACTGTTTTAAAATGGCCAGCAATGAGTCCTGATCTCCATCCGACTGAAAATCCTTGGTATGAGCTGAAATCTGCCATTGGGGAAAAGAAACCTGCAAAATTTCAAGAGCTTGAACAATTTGCAAAGAAATAGTGGGGGAAAATACCAGCTGAGAAATGCAAGAAGCTTATAGATGGCTACAAGAAACGTTTGGAGGTCATCACTGCCAACGGGTGTGCAACCAAATATTAAATAGGGGTGCCATTATTTCTGCACATGCCGTTTTTTCTGTTTCTCCTTTGAAATTACAATTTGAAAAAAGTTGAAAAAACTAATTTTCTTTGTTAAATTACTTTCGACCTCCAATTAAAAGATCCTGATGATATAAATTTGGTACATTTCTATTAATTTCTGAAGATATTGTAGAGGTTATGCAAAAAATGAAGGGGTGCCAATAATGGTGAGCAGGACTGTATAACTTCTGTAATGCTACAATCTTTAAAACTCACTACTATTACTCATTTCATGTCACATACTGTGACATACCTTTACTTTGTATATATGGTCATATATTGTATATATTTTATTATTAAAAAAAAGGTACACACACACACACACACACACACACACACACACACACACACACACACACACACACACACACACACACACACACACACACACACACACACACACACACACACACACACACACACACACACACACACACACACACACACACACACACACACACACACACACACACACACACAGATAGTCTCATGGCAGCTGGCTGCTATATAGGTCATAAACCTGCCTCCATGTTAGCAGATGGGACATGGGCCAAACTCAAATTAATCAAAGTACAAGTCAAATGAAGTTTGAGTCAGTCGGGCATATGGGCGGGATCTCGATACCGCAGCACCAACACTGAACACTACTGCGCAGACTCTTGCTCTGAATGACGTCACCAGCGTAAGGTGGTAGCAGCCGTATTCTGGATATTTTTTTTATTTTTTAACAGTAGGAGAAAATGGAGACATTGACGTTCATCTTTTGTATGTCGATGTTGCCACAGTCGGATAAAGAATGCACTGTGTTTTTCTAATACACTTGTTTCTGATCAACCTGTGTAGTTGGTTGATTACAGTACTTTGCAGTTTCTCCATTTCTTTGCACATTTTATAAATGCAGAATTTTGGTTTCACTGCACACTTTTTGCTTTTATGCAATATAATGTCAGTGGTAACAGAGGTGGGCCTTGGGGTCCTCCAAAAGCTCAGTAAGCATTAGATTGAGTTAGAGACACTGTCGCTTTGTGAATAGAAAAATTCTTTGCAGGTAATTGGCCTTTAACCAAACAACAGATGACAAAAACAAGTACATTCCCGTCCTATACTTGTTCGCCTGTCCGTGGGTTTTGATTTGTTTTCAAGCTTGAAAAATGAACAAAACACATTCAGAATTGTACCAAAATATGTTTCTGTACAAATCAATGGCTGAATCATTCCTTATTTTAGACATTATTTAATTTAAGAGGCGGTGATTCAGGGCTTAGTTCAAATGCATGCCGTCATCAGCTGAACCATACTCCCCATAGTTCACTGATTGTTCCAACTTCCAGCTGCCAGGAACACTTGATTGTTAACACTTGCTTTTCAGGTAAATGTCATTGTGAAAACTGAACTTGCAAGATTTAGGCTGGCTTTGTGCGCCCCCGTCAGTATGCTTACCGGTTAAGCAGAGTATAGTCCTGACTGGCTGACACCTAATACACTAGCGTTTGACCAGTTATGGCGTTGATAGGAAAACATTTTGAAAGACACCTGTTCATACAATAACTTAACATGAGGTCAAAATTTTGAAGTAAAAATATTCTGTAGTATGGTGTGAAAAAAATCACCTTAAATGAGTCACATTTTGCTACTGTGTATAGCCATACTGGAGGCTCTTGTTGTCCCACCAAAATAACTTTCAATAACCATTGCAACAACAACAAAAACCTTATCCTAGCCATGTAAATTACTGTATTATGTTCCCTGGAAACATTTTCCATTGACATCTGTGTTTTTTTATTTGGTTGTGTTTACTCATTTATGCTTGTGTTTTGTCTACTGGTATCTATTCTTTTAAGTTGTAGTGCATTGAGCTCTCAAGGCAGACATAGATTTGACTGGGTGCGACTAATAGATACCAGCTTCTTTCAAAACTCAAGCTGATAAAAGATGCTGGCTTTACTTCACTGCAATTCAAATTCAGTGCATTAATTAGTTTAGAATGTAGGAGTTGCAGGCCTGGCAACAAACAGATATTGTTTCTGCCAGCTTAATGGCAATCACACCAAATGTTCAGGAAAATGTACAAAAAACAGGTAGATTCAATATATTATGTATGATAGCTAGTCTTACACTTGAATGAATATTGAGTCAAACATTACCTGGTCCAGTTTACTCTGATGACAGGGGAAGGAGAAAGTAAATCCCAGAGGTAAGGATGTTCCTTTCATACCCATGTATTCTAGAAAGTCGGCGATACAGTACACAATGTGGTCGAAAAGCTGGCACACAAGGGACAGAAAATGTAAACAAAATTTAAAAAATGCACAGGAACATTCGGAGGTTTCAAACAATGAACCACTTATATAATGTGTTACCCTCAGTTTTACAAAGACACAGTATTTACAGGTTTGACATGGTGCACAGTAAGTGACTACTGATTGTGTTTGTCTCTCTCTTGTGTACTGTATGGAGCCTCATAGTGGTCTCACAGTGCAGTAAATATTTGAGATGCTACAGAAACTATACAATGTTCTCCATAATCAATTTTTTTATATACTACATATCTTTATGCAGATTGCATGCAAAACTACATACAAAAAAAATAATACTGGTGTTCAATGCAATGAGCTTCCACATTAATTTATTATATCAAACAAAAATCTTCACATTTAAAATAAAATAAGAAACAAAATAATAGTGCTTGTAATCATTCACTGAGACATGACTCAACCTCAAAAACAGCAGAGGTCCCTCAGTGTCATCTTTTCTGTTGCTGTTCGAATACTTCAACCCCAAGTAATGTTTTACCTCTTCCCCTGTGCCCTGCATGATCTCCTGTGGGATACTGTAGATCTTGTGGTGCATGTCAACTTTGTGTCTCTTTCCACTTTGTACTTGTACCAGCAGCACCCGAAAGCTTGAGCCCCCAAGGTCCAAAGCTAAAAAGTCGCCATGCTCTGATGAACAATAAAGACAAGTTCATGATCATGAAAGCATTGTAGAAAAGATTAAACTTAACTCAATAATAAGTCAAGTGGAAGGTCCTTTTTTCTCTTACCTGTCCCGTCTGGTGTGGATCTGACATAGGTGGGAAGCATCTTGACGCTCGTCTGTTCGTGGGTTTGCTTTGACAGGCCTCGCACCATCTCCTCACTCATTCGCTTCTTTACGTCCAGCAGTTGTTCACGGCTCAGACGCAGGGTGTCCAGGATGCGCTGACGCTCAGCTTGTTGAGCGGCAAGACGGTAGGCTACTGCTGTTACCATGGCTGCACCCTTCCCACTGCCACACTGCGACTGCAAAAAACGCACATCACAGTCTGGCACAAGTCGCCGTACCATCTTATGGAGCCTCCTGGAAAACCTAGGAAAAGGAAATACATTTGGTTAAATCTGTCGTTTTCAAACCTTTTCATGTCAAGGACCCCTAAACTGACCCAGATTAGACCACAGACCCCCATTTTAAAAGATTTTGTCCCAGGGTCCCCCATCTGATAGGAGTTTTGCTTTTAGATGTTTTATTACAGAAAGTGTACAAAACCATGACCAAAATAGTCAGTCATTGTGTTACTAATGGACAGAATTATAATTAAAATAAATTATTCTTTTTTGCTGGGGATACCCTGGAACCCTCTCAAGGAACCTACTGATGTAAACAACATTCCATGTGACAACATGAAAGTGTGAACGCAACAGCCTACTTGATAGGTTTTAAGGTCTTAGCTGAGGGCTTACTGATTGTTAACAACACTAAAATCGTCTTTGTCTGGCGGTCCTCCAGTCAACCAACATTCACTTTCAGTAAGAATACAAGAGGCTTTAATTAAAACTTGTCTTTGTGACAAATCAGACATAATACAGGGGTAGGGGACTTTTAACAAGTAACAGGTCCCAAATGCATTTGGGACAAAGCAAACAAAATTACAAAGCTGTTTATTTAGCCAAATATTAGTTGCCCAGTTGATACAGGTAAACAGACAGGCAGGGAAACATGGAAATTGCTTAAATGCAAAGTCAACTTGGCAATTTAGCTGAAAGAAATTTCCTTCAAACTAAAAGGCCTATAAAATTCATGAGATTCATGTCCTGTAGCTTTTTATGTGCTCTTTTGTTTGTTTTTTTTACAACTCTGAATCAAAGCACAATGATTTTGCTTTTTTACAGTCCTTGATACTGAAAATAATTTTTCTCCATATAGTCGATAAGCGGTTTGTCTGATTGTCTTCACTTCTAAATCATGCAGGAAGGCTACGAGAATGAATGTATGAAGACTGCACACATTCATGCAGGTAAACAGAATGAACAATGAACTCACCAAGTGAATTCACATAATCACTGATATTTTTTGCATTTATTCAACTGTATTCAGCTGACATCCATTCAGTTCTGCAGCCACTCTTACTTATATAGATGAAGCTCCATAGCTCAAATGTAAGGGAGCGTTTGTGAGATACACAAAGACAGAAGTGATGGTGTTCAGGAACACTTACTCTTGATGATTCTTGTAAACAGAGCCATCCACTCCAATAGTGGTACGCAGCTTCTCAGCAGCCTTGTTATCCCGGATCTGCCGCAGCACTGCCACTAGAGTAGCTGCACACAAGTGTGCAGCCCGTGTAGATACTATCTGACACACCCTCTGAGTGGCTATGCAGTCCTCAACCGACGGGTCCAGGCTCAGGCCTCGGAGCACCTTTTCAGCGCTCGCCAGACCTTCTTCATCTCTGCAGGTAAAGCAGAACACAAATCACATTCACTATAACTTCAGTGAAAAATGAGAAGCAAATTAGTAAAGCCAGCTGCTATATGAATGTAGCCATTTACCATGTGACATCTGCCAGAAGGGTTTGGGCAGTGTTTCGGTATTCATTGGTGCAAGATTAATGCATTAAAACCAAATGTAGCAAAACACTACAATTTCAACAACCAATCGCCTCACAAACTCTGTGATACAATATAAGTTTGTTTTGCTCATTATTCTGCTTGTATGCATGACAACATGACCTGCCTGCATCTACCTAGCTCAGCTTAGTAATTGGCGCATGCTCTGCTGCGACAACGCCGTCTGTATGCTCTGTCTCGTGTCCGTCTCTATGTTTGAGTTAACGTCTGTATGTGCATTCCTTAATGACAATAACTCTGTTCTAAGCTACCAGGATTCCATTTCTCACTTCACACAATGGTGCACAAACAATCATCTAGAACTCAATGTCAAGAAAACAAAAGAACTGATCAACAACACCTCCAGCATGCACAGTTCAGCACACAACCTCACCATTGTGGAGTCCATCAAATACCTCGGACTAATCCTGGACAATAAACTGAACTTCCATCATCACACCAAGGACATTCACAAACGCTGCCAACAAAGACTCCCTGTCATACGCAAACTCAATGCACTCTGTTGCCCCCCAACTTCTGCTACTCTATAAAAGCATAGTCCAACCTGTCATCCTCTACTGTTCAGCCTGCTTCTACAACATGTTAACTGTCTCGAATAGAAACACACTCACACGCATCACACATCATGCCTCCAAAATCATTGGTCTCCCCACTCCCAACCTCTCAGACCTGAACAATATAGCCATTACACGTAGAGCACACAGTATAGCACACGACCCTAGCCACCCCCTCAATTCTTTCTTCGAACTGCTGCCATCCCGACGCAGATACAGGACAGTGGCCTGTAAACGTGCTCGCTATGGCAGGAGCTTTGTACCTTCTGCCATAGCATCTTTAAACAAAGCATCCCGTTAACAGCCGTGAGTTGGTGTACAAGACAGGGTGTGGTAAATGTGCTAAATGTACTGTATTAAGTGTTTACTCTTGTTGTTATGTCGCAGTGTCCATGTGTGTTTTTCTCTGTTCTTCATATCTATGTATGCATGTACAGACTGCAGTGACAAATACTGTAATGCATCACAGCCTACAAGATGATGTAATTTCAAATGTAAGGCAAATGTATATTTTCAGCACTCTTCTGCCCTTGCATATGAGACATTTGGTGAGTATATTCTTTGCAAACTTAGATTAGTCAGTGATTACCAGCCTGGCTAACACATGCTGATAGAGTTGTCTCATTCATCTAGATGATATGATTTCAGGTCAAAGTTAAACAACCCACTGAACTATTTTGTGAACTGTACCATCATCACTGCATCCGAGTTTCTCTCACACACACACACACACACACACACACACACACACACACCTACCTGTCATTATCAATGGCATAGATGTAGCTTGTGTTGAAGCTTCCAGTGGTGAGGAGCTCTGCTGTAGTCTTGCCCTGGAAAAGCAGCCTCTCTTTGGTCATCCTCACCAGGATGAGACGCACCAGTTCCCCCATGTACATGCCGCTGATCATCTTCTCAAACCTACATGCCATCAAAAAAAAGAGGAATAAAATATCGCCACATCCATTTTTACTAACAGAGCTTTCCAGTTTATGGTTTTATTGATACGTTAAACCAAACTACCAAAATAATGCATCTACACATGCACATACAGTGGATATAGAAAGTCTACACGCCCCTAGGTTGAAGCACCCTTTGATTTTTTTACAGCACTCAGATTGAGATGGCAAGGGCATCTCCTGTGCACAGCCCTCTTGATATCACCCCACAGATGTTCAACTGGATTCAGGTCTGGGCTCTGGCTGGGCCATTCCAAAACATTAATCTTCTTCTGGTGAAGCGATGCTTTTGTGGATTTGGATGCATGCTTTGGATCGTTGTCATGCTGAAAGGTGAAATTCCTCTTCATCTTCAGCTTTCTTTTCTATTTCTGTTGATATTGACCGATATTTGGAACTGTTCCCAATTCCCTTAACCTTGATTAAGGCCTCGGTTCCAGCTGAAGAAAAACAGCCCCAAAGCATGATGCTGCCACCACCATGCTTCACTGTGAGTATGGTGTTCTTTGGGTGATGTGCAGTGTTGTTTTTGTGCCAAACATACCTTTTGGAACTATGGCCAAAAAGTTCAACCGTGGTTTCATCAGACCATAACACATTTTCCCACATGCTTTTGGGAGACTTGTATGTAGACTTTAATGTATTTTTTTGCTAAATTTAGCCGGGCTTGGATGTTTTTCTTTAAAAGAAAAGGCTTCTGTCTCGCCACCCTACCCCATAGCCCAAACATATGAAGAATACGGGAGATTGTTGTCACATGTAGTACACAGCCAGTACTTGCTAGACATTTCTGCAGCTCCTTTAATGTTGCTGTAGGCCTCTTGGAAGCCTCCCTGACCAGTTTTCTTCTCGTCTTTTCATCAATTTAGGAGGGACATCCAGTTCTCGGTAATGTCACTGTTGTGCCATATTTTCTCATCTTGATGATGACCGTCTTCCCTGATCTCTCTGATGCTTTGGAAGCTGCAGACAATGGCTTTTGCTCTAAGATGCAACTAAGAAAATGTCAGGAAAGAACAGCTGAACTTTATTTGGGATTAATCTGTCACTTTAAATGTGCAGGTGTGTACTGACTACTATTTAACATGAGTTTGAATGTGATTGGTTAATTCTGAACACAGCCACATCCCCAGTTATAAGAGGGTGTGCACACTTATGCAACCAGGTTATTGTAAGTTTTTTATTTTTTATTTTCCCCCCTAAAAGATTTTTTTTCAATTGAATTGTTCACGTTATAGGTCACATTAAAAAAGGTGGAAAAACTTCTGACATGATATATATTTGTCTCATTGTTTTACATCACAAAAACCTGGCATTTTAACATGGGTGTGTAGACTTTTTATATCCACTGTACAAACACAAATGCAGCTAACCGAAAGCCTGGCAGACACTGGACTTCTGATGTATAAAATCTATCCTTCTAAAAGAAACTTTTACTAGACTGAGATCTAATACTACCCTTAAGTTGGGTACGAAGATGCCATCTGTGAGACTGTGACATTTCAGTTGTCCTCCAAATGATGCATCAAAACTCACAAGTGATATTTAACACTGTGGTAGGCCAACAACTATTAGAGAATGTCAGAAATCACTGAATTAGACAGACAATAGTTAGGCAGCTCAATAATGACGTTATTTACTATGCTGATGAACACAGCCGCATTGTTACCGGCATCACCATCCCAGGCTTGTTAGTCTGATATTCAATCAGCATTGCTTGACACTAAAGTACAAAGACACAGCAGATGCTATATTAATACAATGAACATTTTATTTTTTATTTTTATCCTTTTCTGCAATAGACTACTTTTACAGTGCTTTATATGTAAAAGAGGATATAGAGTTTTTTTTTAAAGGTTTTCCAGTCATGTTCTACTTGATCTGCCTTTGAAAGAAGGTTGTAACAGCAGTAAGTTCAAATATAGCATTTAGATCAATTTTTATTATTATCATAATTATTTCCTTGTGTGAATGAGTCACTTCATTTTGAGACAGACAGTGCTCCTCACACTGACCAATGTCAATCTAAGGAGCAGGTCATCTCTAATCTGTTTCATTATTGTAACCCTGTGTTTCCTGCACCTTTTTTAAAACAATAATGACCTCTCTTGAAAGCAGCATCACTTTGGATGGCTTCTTTACAATCCAGTTTGTTTGTCCCACAAGAGGTTAATTTGCAGCAAGGCAGAAAACAAACAAACACACAAATTTACTGAATTCTTTGAAAAGAGGCACACAATTAATACAAGCATAAACTGGTATACCTGTTCTATACATCTGTTTAGACTGGTTATCGAATTAAATATTGTAAATGCAGATGGCAAAAGTTTTCCAAATGTACATTTTTCCTTCTGTTTTGAGTGAACTTATCAATTACCTTATTATTAATAGATATGGATTAGCAGAGAATAAAACGGTTTGTGTAAATTGGAAGCTAAGAAGAGCACATGATATTACATTGGTTGAGCTTTAAAGCCCACTGATCACTTTTCTTTTTTTTTTATTTTATGCTCATGTTTGACCTTGCCCCTAGCAATTGCCTGGTAAAATAAAATAAACTGGTATCAGGGTCATCCTCCCTGAAAATTCCCTCCAAACTTAAATGAATAGACTCTAAATACAGCATGTGTGCACACATCTGAGCACAAACAACACACTGTCTTTGTCTGCCAAGGCCAACAGTAAATGATGTTTAGGAGTTATGCTGCAGCTATGTCTCTGATCGTATTCAGCCACATGAACTGTGGATAACCACAGTTGTAGTATCTCACAAAGCCCTTCAGATTAAAAAAACATATCAGATAGACTGAGCTATAGATTGAGCTAGAGATTATTCCTACTTGCTACTCACTTTAGTTCAGTGTTTCCTCTATGTTGATTTTGGAGGGGTGGTTCGGACAGGCCTACCCCCACTGCTAAAAAAATCCTAGAGGAAACCCTGTAGTTTACTTAATTAGCATTGTAATACAAAAAGTAAATATAATATTTAAAGCAGTGACGTAAGTACAAAGGTTTATCTAAGAAATATAACATAACCTTCAACTGACTGAATTGACTGTGGTGAAACTTGCTTAATCTTCTAAAGTCCCAAAAATCCAAGTAACACAAATATTCACTGCTAAAAACTATATAAACACTTCTGGCCACTCCAGCTGCACTACTGTACAGATAGCAACGCAAAATCTTTGCCACAGGTTCAATGCACAAACACATGAACACTGATTTAACATGCATACAATTACAAATATTACCCATTACTAGTACCACCGATATAAAAATCAATTCAGCTCATTCAAGCTAGTCAGTTTCACTGAGACTAAAAACTATAATTCATCATCCAATATATCCTGACAGAACCAGATTCATTTCAAGGAGCCACTCCTCCACAGAGCATTATGTTTATCAGAACCGTCTTTACCTTGCATCACAGTATCAATGGACACAAAAGGTGACAGCACACATGTGGTTTTGGTTTCTCAAGTGTTGCTGAACATAATAGGGATAACAGGGATTATGGCCTTTGAGCTGCTGGAAGGCTTTTGAATGTGAAAAATCAGTGCATAAAGTAAGTTTGATTAAGATCATCTTAACAATGGAATTGGCACTACAATGTCCTGATGGAAATAATGGAATTGAAATGGAAATGTACAGTATGCTGAAAAATACGCTGAACAGAAAATTAAAACAGGAGCTGGTCAAACAGAAGGCACAGTTCTACAAAAATAAAATAATATAAACAATAGAAATTAGCAATAAAGGCATCTCTAATACAAGCCTTTCTTCAGTTAAGTGAAGCCCCTACTGAGAGATGTTTTACGTGGAAACAAGTCTGATAAGCATATAGACACTCACAACTGCTTGCCAGGGTTTAGAGAGCCTGCGTCTATTTCCCGGTCAAAGTCAGTGCGGAGGTCCTCCAGCACTCCATCGTCTCCAAAAGCACCCCACTCTGTATTGACACACATCCGTCCCTCGTCACCATCCAGCACCTCAAGGTTCCTCATCTGCTCCATGTAGCAGGCATTGGTCCCCGTTCCTTGAGGGAAGAGATGTTAGCATAACATAACTGCATTAGCATTTGTCATCAAAAAAAAAAAAAAAACCCAGAATGAAAAGAAATTACTGCAGTGTCTATCACCCATGTTTAAATCAAATTAATCAAGCACGCTCTCCCATAAAGGATATTAAAACTAACAATCACTCTTCATCCAGTAACCAGAATATCCCCCAGTGTCTACTCTTTTGTTTAAATGTTAACCGTTCTGGTTTGTTTCATTATCAAAAAATGTGTGTTCTAGGGATTTTGTTCTGTAGTATGGACTTTAATTTTGTCTAGGCTGCACACTACACTGTGTTCCAAATTATTATGCAGATACAGTTTTTGTTCTTTTTCTTACTAAATAGTCGATATAATTGGCAGTCAATAGGATTTTTAATTCCTCAACAATTATATCGTAATCTGGATTTTATTAAACACAATTACCAATGATAACAATGGCATTTGTTGTAAAATAACTAATAAATGCAGTGTTCCAAATTATTATGCAAAACACAATTTCAAAACACTTATTATGGTATTTTTTGCATTAGAGGGGATCATTTTTCTCAAATCAAAGCTATTTAAAATCGGGACTTCCGGTGGCCCGCTACACGGCATGGCAGCATAGTCACTGAGCTCCGGGTATCAGCCTTAAATTCAACTGTCTTTACTCATTATTACTATACGAAAACAAACAAATACACTTCAGATGAATGGGGATAAAGGCAAGAAAGGAGGATATGGACTACATAATAACTCTGAAAGAGAACCCTGGGGGGAAACTGAAGCTAGCGAAACCTCAAGACAAGATGGAGGCCGCAGAGAGATCGAAACTTTGGATTCAATCCGCACGGTGGCGAGAGAAGTTATGACTACGGGGATGGCAGCGCTCCAGGCTGAATTAAAAAAAGATCTCTCAGACTTTCGCACGTGCTTCAGGGAAGACATTAAAAAACAAATGGACGAATTTGCAACAGAAGTAAACCGGAAAATACAAGATGTAACAGGCCAAATTGAAGGGGCAGTGAAACGTGCGGGACAGATGGAGGAAGATATGATCAACATGGAAAGATGGGACGTCGGAGTCAAAGATACCCTCACCCACGTGCTCAGTAAACAGCGGGCGCAACAGAAAAAAGCGACCAATCTGGAGGGGTGCTCTAGGCGTTATAATATCAGGATTTATGGCATCCCCGAGGATGCAGAGGGTACGTCTGTAATGACTTTTATTGAAAACTTCATCAAGATGGAGATGGGGAACGACCTCGGCCGTGACCTGGGGATAGAGTAAGCAAACCGCACCATGGTGCCAAAACCACTGCCGAGTGCCCCACTGCGATCTATGGTGGTCCGTTTCCTCCAGTTCTCCGTGAAAGAAAAGATCCGCCGCTTGGAAAAAGGAGCTCCGTGTCCAAAACCAACAGGTGTATTTTGATCATGATTATGCAACGGAGGTGCAGAACAAAAGGAAGGAATATATACCCATTAAGAAAACACTATGGGATAATGGCGTACGTTTCCAGACCCCACTGACCAGATTGTTTAAACAGGCCCTGTAATGTATAACAGCGCTGCACAAGCAGCAGAAGAGCTGCGGAGGAGAGGATACGCGGCAGGACCAAGAGCAAAGACATCTCGGAGGAGACGCTGGCTCGGCTTCTACCCCGGGAAACAACTGCGGCCCGACTCGGTGGGGAAAAGCACCGGTTCCAGGAGCAGATTCGGGAGAAGCTGAGGGAGTACCGCAGGCCAGAACCGGGAGCTACAGTAAGGGTTGAGTGAGACATTTAATCATAATTTCCCCATTATCTTATTATAATGATGTTTAGTTAAAATATAGGCTGATGCCCACAGGCAAAACACAGAGCCACCAGACTTTCTTTTCCACTTCTGAGGGCCCCACCTTGTGGCCAGGCCCCTCACTGTCAAAAGCGACATGACAGCTTTTCCGGTCAAAGTTCAGTTCACTGTTCTATAGTACAGTTCCTTATGTTCTTTTGTTCTACACTGTTTTGTTTATTACCATTGGTCCAGGGTGATACAAGAGGAATGTTTCAAATATAAGACTGATGCATTACCAACTCTTTAACATACTGTCTATGAATGTCAATGGGCTGAATAACACGGTTAAAAGAAGCAAAATGATAGCTAAAATAAAAAGGGAGAAGGTAAATGTGGCATTTTGGCAGGAGACACACCTTTCAGATCTCGAACATGAAAAACTCAGAAAAATGGGTTTTAGGAATACTTCTTTTTCATCATACAGGAAAGGAAAAAGGAGGGGAGTAGCAATATTGATTTCAAATGCTGTTAAATTCGAATTAATTTCTCAAATTAATGATAAAGAGGGTAGATTTGTTTTGGTAAAAGGAAAAATTGACCCAAAAGAGGTAACATTATTTAATGTCTATGCTCCCCCAGGGAGCAGTATAACTTTTTTCAGAAGGGTGTTTGAACTGATTACATCAGAAACATATGGGACTCTTATTTGAGCAGGAGATTTTGATATACTTCTGAACCCTTCCTTAAATATAACCAATATAAAAAGAAGGAATTTGGTGGAAAAGTGCATAAACAAGGTACTTAGAGACTTGGGACTTATTGATGTATGGCGGGCCCTGAATGGATCAACTCCAGGATACACCTTTTATTCTGCAAGACACACAGCCTACTCAAGGATTGACTATTTTCTAATGCATAATAAAGACCTACATAGGCTGAAATGCTGCAGAATAGGTCAGAGGGATCTTTCAGACCACTCAGGGATTTATCTAACTTTACATTTAGATGGTAGACAACGAAAAACTTTGTGGCGACTTAATACTGGTATGCTGAATGATCCTACATTTAGAAGTTCAATGGAGAAGGACTTGGCATTGTACATACAGGACAATGATAATGAAGAAGTCAACCCTAGTATATTATGGGATGCAGCTAAAGCCGTTCTCAGGGGGAAGATTATAGCCAGGACAGTTGTACTCAAAAAGATGAAAAATCAAAAATTAACCAGTTTACAGGGAAAACAAACGCATATAATAAACAAAGAGCCCTCTATTATACAACAAATCAGACATACTAAACAGGAAATAGATAAAATATTGGGTGAGGAGGTGGAGAAAAATATAAGGTTCATGAAACAAAGATTATGAGGCTGGCCCCAGAGCGGCAAAATTGTTGGCTTGGAGGCTCAGAAAACAACAGGCAGAAAATACTATCCACAAGATCAGAGACCCAACTACAAATAAAGTTACTAACAATTTGGACGGTATACAAAAAGTATTTGAAAGATATTACAAATCTTTATACTCTCAATCAGAACAGGTTGATAATCACTCAATTGCTGAATTTTTGAGCTCCTTAGACCTTCCCACGTTCGGTAAAGAAGCTAATGATAAACTCATCTCACCGATAACAAGGGAGGAAATAAGTAAAGCCATCTCAAGTTTGAATACTAACAAATCACCTGGCACAGATGGTCTCCCTCCAGAATGGTATAAGTCAATGAGAGATCATCTGCTCCCCTTGTTGGAGTCTAGTTTCAATTATATCTTGAAAGGAGGCTCTCTCCCTCCCTCTTGGAGAGAGGCCTTCATATCATTGATTCCCAAAGAAGGTAAGGACAGGATGGACTGTAAAGGGTACAGACCTATTAGTGTGTTAAATACAGACTATAAATTGTATGCCACCATTCTAGCAAAAAGAATGGAATCTGTAATGCCTTTGTTAATAGATGAGGACCAAACAGGATTCATAAAGAACAGACAAACACAAGACAATATAAGAAGAGCTCTACATACCATCGATCGGATTAATGAGGACCAAATTAGTGCCATTATCCTCAGTTTAGATGCTGAAAAAGCTTTTGATTCAGTCAGGTGGGAATTTCTCTATCTAGTAATGGAGAGATTTGGCTTCAGTAAGGATCTTATACGCTGTATTCAGGCACTTTACTCCTCCCCCCCCCATGCCCCAACCTTTTTAATTTATTCATCAAACCTTTAGCTCAAGCAATACGTCAGGAGTCAGGATTAAACGGTATTTACATGGGCGGAGTGGAGTATAAAATAAGTCCATATGTGGATGATGTATTGATCACAATAAAGGATCCTAGTTCAGGCCTGCCTTTATTAATGAAAATGCTGGAAACATATGGGGAGTACTCAGGATATTTCCTAAACATACACAAAACACAGGTTATGACATTTAATTACACACCTACAGAAGAATTCAACACAATGTATAGTTTTAATTGGAACTCTTCTTATATTAAATACCTGGGAGTAAGTTTACCTAAAGACATGTCACAGTTCAATATTAATTATAACTGTATTAGCAAAAAAATATATGATGGGTGGAGCCTGCGGCCCCTTGACTTTGGTGGCAGAATTAGATCAATAAAAATTAATATCCTCCCTAGGTTATTGTATCTCTTTTTATCATTACCAGTAGAAATCCCTCTGAAACAATTGGAATAAATGGAATAAACATATCTCCCGATTTATTTGGAATAAACAGAGACCAAGGGTTAAATTTTCTACCGTTCAGCTTCCGGAGGAGAGGGGCGGCAGGGCTCTCCCATCTTTAAAGGACTATTATTTGGCAGCCCAATTGAGACCTCTAGTATATTGGTGTAATTCTTCTTATGTGGCTAAGTGGAAAACTGTGGAGTTATCTTTAACAGATGTACCGATACAATCGCTGCTTGGCTGTGTGGGAGTGCAGAAAAAAACATTACAGACAGAGAACCAATGGGTGAACTGTTCACTGAAGGTATGGGGAGATGTGGTTAAAAAATGTCATCTCCAAAAAACAGATAAAACTGCTTAGATGGCCAGCATACGACCCTGAATTCATACCTGCATTACAGTATAATAGATATAAACAATGGACCTATTATGGTATTACTGCTGTATGTAAAATGGTTAAAAAATGGGATCTTGACAACTTTAACAACTTAGGTCAAAGGTATGGGTTGGGCGGACAAGACTTTTACAGGTACCTACAGTTTCAGGATTATTTTAGTAAAAAGCTGAAAGGTTGTAACCCAGCAGAGCCACCAGCGGTTATTCGTATATTTATGGATGCATACAACTCAGGGAGCATCAAAAGGACTCATAAGCAAGTTATACCATGGCATCACTTCATTGAATAAGGACACTACAGACTATGTGAAACATCGATGGGAAAAAGAGTTGGACATTGTGATAACAGAGGACATGTGGCTGAGCGCCTGGGAAACACAGTCATCCTCCACCAACTCCTGGATTTGGAGAGACTTTTGTTGGAAAAACCTCATTTGTTTTTTTTATAACTCCCAAGCAGAGGTCCAAACAGACTGGTACACAACTGGCCTGCTGGAGAGAATGTGGAGAGGTCCTTGCTGATCAGGCTCATGTTTTATGGTCTTGCCCCTCCATCCAGATTTTTTGGAGGGAAGTGGCAAAAATTATTTCAAAGGTTCTGTGTTTCAATATCAATGTATCATTCACAGCTCTCTATCTTGGAAACATGCCAGATGGACTGAGTAAAACTGATACTTATCTTCTTAGGGTCTTGCTGGCTGCAAGTAAAAAGGCCATCACAAAATAAAATGCGAAAAATGCCCCCACTTTAGATACTTTTGTTAATATTGTAAAACAATTACATGTCCTAGAGCAAATGACTCACTTAATCCGAGTCCAAAAAGATCTGGGTAAAAAAAACGATGGAAGAAATGGCATGCCTATTTGGCCAATATGTGAGACTGCTTATGATGTGTTGTGTATGGTATTTTGTCTTTTGGATATAAATAGATCACCCCTGGACCTCAAATTTGTGTAATTGTTCAGTGTCCTGTATTTGTTTTCTTTTTGTTTCACTTTTCACTTTTGTACTAAAATTTGGAAATTATCTATAAATAAAGAGTTAAAAAAAAAAAAAAAAAACATCTTTAAAGATCGACTTACATATTAACATAGGAGTCCTTCTTTGATATCACATTAACAACTCTCTCATCCATTGAACTTGTAAGTCCATGTACAGTTTCTGCCTGTGTTTCCTTTGAGGGTGCCAGAGTTGCCTCCCAGAGCTGCTGTTACCCTCATAGAGCTTCCTTTTAAGGATGCTCCACAGGTTCTCAATAGGGTTGAGGTCAGGAGATGATGGTGGCCACACCGTGATTCTATCTCCCTTAATGCCCATAGCAGCCTAGGCCTCAATGGTATTTGTTGCAGCATGGGATGATGCGTTGTCTTACACAAAAATGATTTTACTCCCGAAGGCATAGTTGTTCTTAGGAACTCCACATATTTTGCAGAGGTCATTTTGACACCTTCAGGCACTTTAAAAGGGGCCTACCAACTCACTTCCCATGATTCCAAAACATCCCTCCACCACCTCCTTTGTTGACGTTGCAGCCTTGTTGGGACATGGTGGCCATCCAGAACTCCATCCATCTGGACCATCCAGTGTAGCACAGCATACATCAGTGAATAAAACTGTTACTACTCATCAGTGGGTTCTTTTCACGAGCTGCTCACTTAATACGATGAATTAGTCTTACAGAAACCTTCCTCAACAAGCCTCTATCTGAACGAACCTGTCTGCTTATTTGCATAATAATTTGGAACACATATATTGATGTCAAACAGTAAAAAGAAAAGATGTGATATATTTTATGAAGTATTATTCACTCCACCAATTTAAATGATAGAAAAGTATACCCTATAATGTGTACAACCCATAAATTGCCATGATAAGGTGCTGATTCCCCCTCCTCATCAGTCTGCGCATCACTGTCCCCTTGGAAACTGTGCTGTCAGGGGCAAAAGCTCCTGGTAGCGTGCCCCACGGCAAATTGGTCCCAGGGGAGGAGCCAGAACAGTGATTCACAAGATTCGACATCAACTGGACAAAAAAGGAGCTGCAGCACCTCCAGGGATCTAGAGGGGTGGCAGCTACCACCCCTAAATAATGCCTCCTCCCCAGTTTGGTGTTAAAAGCTGTCAAATTTAACAAATTAATTTAGATATTTATATTCAATTGTTTACTAATGTGTCTTCATTTCAGGGCTTTTCCAAGCAAATTTTAACATTAAATCAGCAAGTCTCCATGCCACCCTCTAGATTCACCGCTTAGCACCTCGTCTGGAACAGGGAGACTGTGGCCTGCTCTTGGAGCCAGACCTGGGAGGAGAGCTTGCCAGCGAGTGTCTGGTGGCCTGGCTCTGACCCAAGGAGCCCAGTCAGGCACAGCCGGAAAGAAACTACATGGTGCCCCCATTATGCAGGCCCATCTCATCTGGCTTGGGACCACTTGGGATCCCCCACAGGAGGAGATGTAAAACGTTGCTGGACCTCCCTTTCCTCAATCATCATCATCATCATCCTACTGGACCTTTCAGCAGTGTTTGACACAGTAAACCCCCAGATCCTTCTCTCAACCATGCAAGAACTGGAAGTCTCAGGCCCTGCACTCTCCCTATTCACATCCTGCCTCAAGGACCACACTTACAGGGTGACAGCACAGATCTCTGCATATCTGACATCTCTGCCTGGTTGAGGCACTGGAAGACCAGCTGTCCTTCATTGCCAACATTGCTGGAACAATCTGCTCCTGCACCTGGTCCAGGGTCTCATCATCTTGCACCTAGACTACTGCAACTCCTTCCTCGCTGGTGTGCCTGCATGTGCCATCCAACCCACCCCCCTGGCTCAGGCTCCTCCTACATCCTGGACATCGTCAAAGCCCTCCAGTCTGGCTTGCTGCTCTCTCACTAAAAGGCAGGCCCAGCTACCGCTCAACAAAATAGCAACTGTTTGCTGTCCTGGCTCCACAATTGTGGAACAAGCTCCCCATCCACATCAGGACAGCAGAAACCCTACACATCTTCTGTTGCATTCTATACCTTGGCCCATAAAAAGAACTCTATCTCTAATAGTTTTTATATGTAGCACATAAAAGTATGTAATGATAGACTTAACAATTTCAAGCATTTGAAAATGGATCAAGAGGAATGTCTGACACCTAGGGCACTCAATAGAGCTTTTTTGGCACTATGACACAATGCCCATTCTCTTCTACAGATTCAAGCATTAATTTTCAGTTCTTCAGCTGCCTTCAGCCAGGCCACATTCTCATCATCTTTAATTCCTTTGACGCAGGCAAGTTCAGGTGCAGAATTACACCATGTGAGACACAATGTTAACCTTTCAAAACCATTTAATGATATGTAATGACAATTTTTTTAATTCTTTTTAATTTTTTTTAATTTGACCCTTTGACCTGGTCATTGTAAAACCATGTACAACCTGTTATCTACCCTTTAACCCTGTTTCTAACTACACTCTGTGTCCAAGAAAACAGCAGGATGTTGAGACTTCAACTGAGCAGCCAAGGACATGATAAGACCGATCGTTGCACCACACTATCTTTGTTTCCCCAGAATTTAGGAATAAGTTACTGTGTTAGAGTGATGCTCCAACAGGGATAAAATGATACTGCTTCTTTCAATCTTCACTCTTTCGAGCCTTCACATACGAGTGTGTGATAGTGGCATGGAGTCCATTCATGGATGATTTGAATAAAACTTTACAGTAGGACAAGATCATACTTTGTATGCATTATTTAACAAATGGCCACCACAGATAAGAATCAAATAATGGTGCATACCTTAACTAAAGCATCTCTAAATGCCTTTAATAAGATCTGGAAGGTTTATTCTTAATTCTATATTTTTTTTTTGTTGGAACCAAAGCACCTACTCCCAAGAGAGAATTCAGGCATGTTTGTGAGCCTTAGCTGGCAATGATGAACCCATTAACCATAACCATATTATTCTATGATAATATGATTCCAAATGTTGGAAAAGGTATTTCTCAAGTTTCCCTCAAGCATTGCTGAAGCACAAGAAAGTAACAAATGTCACAACTACCGGTATGCAACACATTTGAGTGTGGGGATGTAACACTCAATTTATAAACAGATTTTCAACTGCTTCCCCAACAAAATGAAGTAATTAATTTTGGGTGGTGCACCATCAAACATTGGCATCGTCAACCAGTGGGATCCCGGTGTGGGATCAGGTTCCTGTTACTACACCAGTCTTTAGGTGGTCAGACACCTGTGCAGCGGGGGATGGGATCTAATTGACAGATTAAAAAGGAGCAGTTGGTAACTCCATGCGAATCCGAGAAGTCTGTCGAGACTTTCCACAGACCAAGAGTGGGAGTTAGCAGTGACAAGGCCTGCAGTGCTGGCATAATTGGCTGATCCAAAATAGCAAAAAAATATTACATGCATAGTACTGTTAAAATACATACATTCCGATTTGATGCACTGACATATACAATTAAATAACTCTAAGATACAACACAGAAAACAACAGCAAAGAGGAAAATCTATCAGTAACATGTTACCACATTGTCATGTTGGAATGGGAGCTTCTCAAATGTCAGGAGACAGACTGAGCATACCCATTCCCACCCTCCTTCTGTTCTTTTTTAAGATTTCAATCTGCATATTATACATCCTTTTATGGTTACATAGACAATGAGTTGTAGTTTGCAAAAGTAACCAAGTGAGTGAAGAAACACCAAAAAAAACTTTACCTATTCCCAAGGCCAATGCATTTATTTTCTTCCTGAAATACTGCTCATTGGGTATTGTTATGCTTGATTCAAGCATCAGTATCCAAATGCTCTGCTAACTTAGCATGTGAGCAAACACTTGCTGACCTTCACCGATCAATAAACAGGACTCACCCACAATGAGGCCAATTTCACAGTGGTGATCATCATAGCCACAGGTCATCATGGTCCCCACCGTGTCATTGATCACAGCCAAAATGTCAATGTCAAAATCCTGCAATGAGATTTCATTAAATGATATACATCATGCCTATTACTACACTTCTAAAGCTTTAAAGACTGTGAGAAATGTACATATTTTTCCAATATTTCCAAGTCACTACCTTGAACTGCACAACATAATGAAAAGTCTGTTTTGAATCAAAAATTCATTTTGTGTTTTTTTTGTGTTTCCTTTGAAAAACAATGATTCTGCATCTTACCATTAAATTGCTCTGAACACAAGTGAAAATTCCTTAAGTGGGTGGGGGAGGGGGAGATACATTTTGTTTTTAACAGACTTAAAAACATAAAGGTGCATGCAGAGGTGGCCTGCTCTTCTAGGCTTGGACATGAAACATTATTTCAAGACACTGCAGCCTACCCCATTACCACAGTGGCTTTGATTATCAGAATGGATAACTGAAGGAACATGAATGTTCTCATGCAGGAATACTGATGGGGAAGCCTCCTGCATTGCTGCGTTTGCACATTTCTAAAGATGCTGCCTGCAGGCAAAAGGTGCAATGGCCACCTATCACCATGAACAATCATTGTTCTCTCAGGATCTCCACATCTCAGGCATTGAAATCAAAGGCAACAATATGTCAAAGTCAAGTCAAGATGATGTCAAGTGTCTGACTACCACTGCATCCATTTCTGCCATGTGATGGATGTGTCTGTGCCACCAGCTGTGTCTGTGAGAGTATGCGTTTGTTTTGTACTTAGTTTGTCTGTTGTTGTGATGTGTTTCTACTTCTAAACATTCGATTATGCATTCATCTCAAACAGAAGCAGTATGTCATTTAGTGAAGTGCCTTGAAATGAGGCTACACAGTCAAACCCACACAACTGCTTTTTCTGAGGATGGTACATCACTTAAAATAAACCCTTATTTTTGCAGTGACATTTGCTATGGCAGTTTCAACATCTAATTGTTCCTTCTTAGCCTTCAGATGTGCTTATTGTAGCTCTATCACTTGTCTTTTCTTAATTAGGGCCCAAGCAGCAACTGCTGCCCCAAACTTCACATCACTCCAAACAGAGTCAGAGCAGTCATCTGACTTTTTATTTTAATTTCCAAGCAGACATGATAAAGAAAGTACACAAAAAAGATTTCTAGGTCTTTGTAAGTTTGCTGAATGAAAATAGCACATACTATACAATGAAATCAGAATTTGCACACTTACCCCTCGTTTTTTAATTGATTTCTTCAGAAGGCTGACCACATCTTTTCCCTCTACTCCACTTGCCTTGAAGCCTTTGGTCCAAGACACCAAAACACTCTGGAAATAGGAAAAGAAAGAACAGAATCATTATCTGTTTCATTTCAGCCATGTCATTGGCGTAATCAATCAACAACACACTTATGTAAGTTAGTTAGTTATGCAGACCCCACCAATTAACAATCTGACGTGAGTCAACAAATCTAAAAAAAACAAAAAACAAATCAGTGGATAGAACAATCCCTGAGTGAAATACAGACTCAAGTGAAAACGCACAGAAACTGGCAAAAAGTTGCTGCTGATGTCTATCAAAAGATAAAGTTCAAACAAAATTCAATTCAAAATTTAAATTTTACTATGTAAACCCCCAAACCATGTATTTAATAAAAAAAAACAAAAAAAAAACTTTTTTTTATTTTAGAACAAAACAATACTTAATACAAAATAAGTCTCTTTCTCTGGCCATTGACAATCTCACTTCAAGAGGCTGCAGCCAGCCAACAAATAAATCTAAATTATGCTCTTTAAGCAATGTACCAAAAATTTATTCAAAAAATATATACACTCTTTTTAGTGCAAATGTCATAAGATGCAACACAACTCGCCATACCTGTCTCTCGTTGACTGACTCGCTTGTGTTGTTCGTTGTGTGTCGGACTATGCATGCTTTCGAACACCCGCCCAACTCTACCTCTGATTGGCTTACCATGATATTTTACTCAACCTCAGGCAATCGTCAGCATTTATGCGCTTGCCTCATGCACTGCCCACTAACCAAGGAAGAACAGTAAAAAAAAGTCTTTGCCTCTCGGCTCAGAGATCTAGTTGGTCTGATGAAAAAAAAAACAGCTTCAATTATAGTAACGCGCCAAATTTTTTGGCAGTAATGGTATCGGCGTTATTAAGATGGGAAGAGTAATCAATTAGATAACTCGTTACTGAAAAAAGTAACGCCGTTATTCCCATCACTGATCATCAATGAGTCTTGGCCACCCATGACCCTGTCTCCAGTTCACCACTTTTCTAGGTACTGACCACTGCAGACCGGGAACACCCCACAAGAGATGCAGTTTTGGAAATGCTCTGATCCCCACACCCACACCCACACACACACACCCACACCCACACGAGAAAAATGGGTTGTTCCAGACATTGTTCAGAAGAACTTTGATTAAAACGTTGATTGGAGAGGCGAATGTATAAAGAAGTGCAAAAAATGATAGGCTTAAATGATTTCCAATGCTTTAAAATAGAAAGCAAAACCAGAGAGACGTAAAAGAAAAACGGAAGACTACCATTCGAATGGATCGAAGAATAGCCAGAATGGCAAAGACCAAGCCAATGATCAGCTCCAGGGTGATCAAAGATGGTCTAAAGTTACCTGTGAGTACTGAATTATTCGGCCACCTGACCATAATACCAACAGGGACTGTAATGACATTGTATTCAAATCCATATACTTTAATATGGAGTTGGTCCTGTGGGAATTTGTGTCCATTCATTCTGTAGAACATTTATGAGATGTTGGACGAGAAGGTCAACATCAGTGCCAGTTCGCCAGTTCACCCTAAAGGTGCTCGATGCCCTTCATCCTCAATTTATCCAATCGCAGATATCCCACTTGAGATATGAATTGACAAGTTGACAGGACTTACAGAAGAGCATGTTACACAGTTAACCCATTGGTTTCAGGAAAAATAAAGATTTAAAATATACTTTAGGATAAAATATAAACAGTTTATATCCATAAAGTCAAATAAAATACAGATTGAGCTAAAGAAAAAATATCAATCTTGTTATCAGATCCAATTTAATAAAACACTTTGTCCCAGATGACCCTTAAGTCATAGGGGGCTCAGTCATTGACTACCCTCTCACTTGAGGCCAAAATATTATTTCTAAATCACTCACCTCATCCAACTTGGTCTGTTGACAGGGAAAAGAGAAGGTGAAACCCAGAGGAAGCTTTTTATCTTTTATGCCCAACTTCTCCAGGAAATTAGCCAGACAATCAGCTATGTGGTCAAATAACTACAGGGGGAGAGAAAAGGTCAGTTTTCTTATTAATGAGAAGCTGACGAAATGCAATTTGATTTGTTGTGTGTGTGTGTGTGTGTGTGTGTGTGTGTGTGTGTGTGTGTATATAGATACCAAAAATCATTAATGCTATCATTCCAATTATTAGTAGTGGTAGTAGCTTTGTATTATTAACATTGAGAATAGTGGTAGTAGTAAGTAATTGTTCTGAGAGCTGATACCACAGAACAAAACTCAATATAATTACAAATATATAGATAAGGGATGTCCCTCCCTGTCATTTAATATTGAGTATCTGCCGATAACAAGTTCCAATCTGATACTTGTTTTTTCTATTTTTATAATACAGGTGCACAATGCGCACTTTCAAGTACATTAAAGTTATACAAATCAATTCAGTGTATATGCTGAACAATTTAATAGCTCTGCATTGCATTAAGAAACAAAATTCCTCCCTTGAACCGGTTTTCTTTTTACATAATATAAAATAACAAAGGCTCTGTAACCTTTTTGGTCTTGTCACTGTCTGGAGGAAGTTTCTCTCTCCAGTGTTTGTTTCTTCAGTGCAGCCTTTTATATATATATATATATATATATATATATATATATATATATATATATATATATATATATATATATAAAATCAATGTGATAATACTTGCAGGAGCTCTCTCTAATTAATTATTTTTGTTGATACTTCCCTTTCCATCTCTTTCAAGCACTTGGAACTTTTAACAAGCTCAGCTGTGCTTTTGTACTGAAGCAGATTTGTTTTTCTGAATGTGGTGAGAAACACACTAAGTGTTGTCAGTATGAAGCTACAAGGGTTGGTGTTGTGGATGTAGTCCTTTTTGCATCAGTCACATTTGTCTGTTTCAAGTTTATAGTTTGTTGTTTAAGTGATGAGTAAATGACATTGACACCTTATAAATGCCAGCTAAGCTGGCTAGCACACTGCCACCACATTACAGGCTACAACAATGCTGTGTTATATTTTGTACAGTAAATATTAGCTGTGTGTAATGTTTATCTTACTTCAGACCCGCTGCCTCTCATGAGGTGTTCAGGAATGGCATAAATTTGATTTTCCATCTCCACCTTTTGCTCGCCATCGGCCATTACTTTGACCAAGAGCACTCTGAAGTTGGATCCACCAAGGTCAAGGGCCAGGAATTCACCTTGCTCTTTGAACAAAAACACACACACACACACACACACACACGCACGCACGCACGCACACACGCACACACAAATAATTCAAATGCTAAACAGAATTCCTTCTTCATAAAACATTAGGAAAGTTAGGGGACACATATCACACAGGAGGGAAATTTTAACTTTGACTAGATGCAGGTGGGACCAGGTTGTCAATAAATAAACTGCGGGTCCCGAGATTTATTAAAATTAAATAAAAACAAAAAAAAGAAAGAAAGAAAAAAATAACCAGATTCTAAAATGAAATTTCGGCTTTTCAATTATTTTCTGGTTTTGTAGTGCTCTGTGGCAGTAAACTGAATATATTGTGGAAATAACAGACATTTGAGGACCTCCTCCACCTTTCTGCTTTATTGTCTCTATAAAACTTTCAACCACACTGCACCCCTGACCTCACCTCATTCACTGAAGAAAGGTAAGAAAACTTTCATTATTATCTTGATGTACTTTGTGAGGAGTGAATCATCAGAAATAATAATTATATTGCAGTTCAGAACTGCTGTCGCACTGTTCTGTATGAGGTTCTGACCAAACCCCTTTGACCTTTTTAATGTTAGATATTTTGAAAGGACTCTCTAAGCTAAAAAAGAACACTGGAGAAACGTCAGAAAATGTGTTCACCCATTAACTTAATTTGGCTTAATTTGACATTATATATGATATATGATATGATACATACATACATACATACATACATATTAGTCTATTTCTGTTTTGTTGAACTTGTTGTTCTGTTTATTTATGCTCCAAGTCTGTGTTTGTACATTGAGAGCCAAATTTTCCTTGTATGTGTGCACGTACCAGGCAAATAGTGATTCTGCTATAATATTGTGGTTTTGCAGTGGTGTGTATGGAACTTAGGGGTGTCACGATCCTACAAATCCTCGATTCGATTTAATTTTCAATTTTAAAGTCACGATTCGATTTTCGATCTTTTTTTAATATTACTATTAATGCATTCCTTATGTTATTTACTTTTACTTCTCCGAAGAGACCCAAGGTTAGTGTTCATGGAATATGTACTTATCAATGTGCATTTTAAGCCTTAAAGTAATTTTGGACTGTAACTAGATCATCTTTTCACTTGCTAAGTTGAGTAGGCTAAGTGAGTGTTAATTGACGTGAATGAACGACAAAAAACTTTTTTAAAAATTTCAGAGTAGCAAGGGGGGCTTCGATTTTGGTTGGTTGATGTGTATTTTTTAACTGGCTGCAGCCTAAAATTAGAGGAGTGTTGACGCCGCAGTTCAGCACGTGAGTGTGTTTTGGCGTCTTGGCATACATACTGGACGTGACATTGGGGGTGTGGCTGCATTGTCAATTCTACCTTTGAGTTTGAAGTTCAAGATTGAGATTTAATTTCAGTCGATTTCGATTATGACACCCCTAATGGAACTGCAGTTGCACTCCCGAGTCTCTATGTTATTTTTATTAACGGACTTCTTATATGAAAAGTAGCATTACCTGTTCCATCAGGAGTGGAGCGCACATATGTGGGCAGCATCTTGACAGCAGCTGTAGGGTTGGTGTCTCTGCACAGGCCTTTGTCCATCTCTCGTCGAAATCTTATTGACACATCCATCAACGTCTCATCTGAAAGCTGAAGACGGTGCAGGTATTTGTCCACCTAAATAATTAGGAGTAAAGCAGTGAGTAAATAAATAAAATAGTAAATGTATTGTTATTCAATTTAACAAATTAACCAACAAATTACATTAAAATTGGACAGCTCTGCATTTAGAAAAAATATATAAATTTTTTCTTTTGAGGATATAGTCCTACCAAGTTTTGAATACTGCCTGATAAGAGGGTTGTGTCAGTACCAACAGCAGCATGTTAAGGGACTGAATGGATGCAAAACAAGCTTTTCTGTTTGTTTAAAAGCAGTTCTGCTTGTATTGCTGGCTGCCACGCACAGTCAGTGAGGATAATGTTAATTTAAGCTGCTAGCAGTTGCACTTAGTGTTGCTCTGTAATTGATTCGCTCAAGTGAGTGTAAGGAAATTAGCCTAGAGATTAGAGGGCATCAGGCGAAATGAATTCTTCCACTCTCACATTTCTGTTCTTACTTTCAGAAATCATAGCCACACTGTTTTCTGATTCCCTCTAATTTGTAGTTCTATCGGAGGTGGATTCAACTGGTAATGCAATCCCACTTTCTCTAAATATTTAAGTTTCATTAGCAAACCACTGAAAGGCTTTTATTCTGAATGTAGCTACAAAAGGTGCTAACATAATGGTGTACTGTCCCAAGGCTGAGTCCTAGCTGCAGCAGCCATGGGTTCCACCCCAACTTGTGGCTCTTTGCTGCGTGTCACCCACACTGGAGATAGTGAGGATAATAGAGTTTAGCCAGAAGAAGCTTGACAAAATGTGGTGAAAAGACCTTTTCTGGAGTAGATTTTCCTAATGTCTTTACATTCAAAAGAGGCCTACTACTACTACTGACATGTTTTGTCACATAAGCTAGGGATAAAGAAGAAAAATATATATGGGTCTGGCATTAACTGAAGGAACAGGGGCAATGTTTGGTGACACTTTTTTACTTTTCTGCAAAGGTCAGCATTCTATCTATGACTGTATTACCTGAACTGTTTCCTTGTATGGAATACGCGTCTCCTTTCTTTATCAGACTGTGCTTATTATCATAACTATATAAAAAAAGAAAGAAAAAAGCCCCCAGAACAGAACAAGTGCTCATACACGGCAAGGAGGTTGATGTTGTCAACCATAAATATCTTGGTAACAACGTTGTTAACTTATTTGAAGTTTGAGCAAAACACAGAAACCATAATCTGGAAAGCAACGTCAATACTTCCTCAGGAAACTGAATTCATTCAGTGTCCAAAAACCAGTCTTACAAAGCTTCTGCCGTTCCTTCATCGAGAGTATTGTGTTTCTCCGTCATTTGCTGGTTACCATCCCTCACTGTCAAAAACAGAAACTGTCTCCAAAACATAGTGAACACCTGTTCCAAAATGACTGTAGTGCCCCTCCGAAGCCTAGCCTCTGAGCAGCAGATCAAGACAAAGGCCCATGGCATCATGGAGCTAGGCGCATGAAACAATTAAAGGTTTATCTGCCATGTGAGCCATTTCCTTTTGGCTTTTCTTTTTAATTTTTATAATTATTTAAATGCCATTTCACTATCAGCTCAACATAGCACATAACGCTTGTAATTGTCTGTTTCCTGTCTTTTTTGAGCCATGTACTCATGCAGGAAATCAAATTGCCTTTTCTTCGATTCAAAAAGTTGTACTGAATTGAATTGAACTGAACTGAACTGGATGGACTATTGAATTGAATCCACTGTTTAAAAAAGGAGCAAACAACAGGACAAATGGGTAATGAGTTCCATTCAACCATTAGTGAAAATGAATAAATAGGAGAGGAGTTAAGTATTGTACTACCATGCAGTACAAATGCTATGATGAATCTCTTAGCAAAGGCCTTTAATATTTGAACTTGCCAAAGTAGGAAAAGCACAAGTGTTAACATGGCTTCCTTCCATTCAAGTGTCCCAGTAAGCCTTTTTTGGGCATGGCCTACTATGTTATCTTAACATAGATCAGAACAATCACCAGCCCTGGGCTTGATTTTAATTTTAGTGTTATGTATTTGGGAAATTTGACAGATATTTAGTACAAATACTACTAGCAGGTAGCAAAAAAAACAATAACCAGGAAATGGCTGAGTAAGGAGTGCCCAACAGTCCCTTTTTCACAGCAGCCATTTTGCCATTAAATAGTAGGGTAAACATAGGTTTCATTTATTTAATTATTTTCAATACAATGATCCATTCACTCTCAATCAGAGTCAGGGTGCTGCTACTGTGGCTCACTGGAAAGGCTCTGCTATACTAAATGGAATGGAGCCTTAATTTGTATCACTGGTAACACCTGTGTTTACCTTACTATTTCATGTCAAAATGGCTGCTGTGAAAAAGCAAAAACAGGACCAAGACACCAAAGCAGCTAAATTGAATTCAGCCATCTTACTTTTTACTTCTGTGATTTCATTATTTGCATCCTTGACTTTCCTACAGACATGTCAAATGGTCTTCAGTGAAAAAGGCCTTATTTACGTTTTCATAGATATGTAGCTTTAAAGCTATAGCAGATACACACGGTGTGACTGTACCTACTGTATGAAATGAGCTTCACAGTTTGGGCATTTCACACAGTTGGCGTTAGGGCCTTCAGCACTTTGGTCAACTTTGGTTGTTTTAAAGTGCTTAACAAATAAAGTTGGATTGGATTGGATACACTGCGCCTCGTGCCTGAGCACACAGGTGATGTTAATTAAGGTACAATATTTAGACTGCGCGAGAAGTGACGTGGAGTCGTTGTCACTGCCCTCGTACATGCTAGCAGCCTGTCTGACCCCTGTTCCCACTGCCTCACATTAGGGCAACACACTCAAAGGTCCTGTCACGACAAACCAAACGTCCCCGAAACAAACCCGGTGGAGTGTTTTACTCCAGTACTCACTTTATGCGCTTGGTCATCATGGAGTTCGGTACAGTAATTAGCCAGCAGACTCGAGGCTAACATCTTTGGTTAGTGATGTGTGACGACTTTACGTCCTGTGTCCTTTGTCCTCCTGCTGTAGAGTTGAGCAAACTTTATCAACGAAGGCGGACTATTTGAAGAATAAATACTAATCAATAGTTTCACTCGCCGCTCAGTTTCCTGTCTAAACCCCGTCAATTAAAACAGTGTTTAAAAACGTCGTCCTCAGAAAGAAACTTCCAGCTTCCTGGAGTTGGTAGTTTGGTGACGTCACTCTAAACTGATGACGCTGATTGGCTGCAGAGAAGGCGCGACGTGACGTCCTTTTCTACCAAAGCACTGTCCATGGATGTACAATGGGGTGGACAAAATAACAGGAATACCTTGACAAATATCATTTCTGCTGTGAAGCTTTTAATGTTCGGTTTTTGTTCACAATTTGTCATGAATATGTTTATTTAACTTAACAATTTTGAGGCACTTTCAATTGTATACAACTTTACACAATACTTAACAAGCTACATTCATATTCAATTCAATATAATGCTTGTTCCTCCACTTTATTTATTTGAGAACTGTAATTTCATTATAACTTTGCATACAAAAAACTTGATCATCTTATAAAATATGGGTTAAACTTAAGTAGTTAAAACTAGCTTCACATCCATTCCTCCCTGCAATTATACTTATGAATTTTTATCTAATTACATTCAGACACATTACATTACATTTTAGAATACGGGATTTCTACTTGTAGTAATATAAGTTTAATAAATTGGTGCAACCTGATGAATGAGGAGACATTAGAGGAGCATGGGGAAATATAATGCTTACACCTAAAAGCCTTAGATATTGTACTATACTCTGAAGTCTGTGTGTTTGATATTGTTTTTGCATGGTTTGTAATGGATTACTGCAATTAGGATTGCTACTTCATTAAAACAGCATTTCTAAAACTAAAGCTGACAATAAATTAAGACTAGAAATAGGCCTACGTATAAAAAATTCTCTGTATCTGTATCTCTATCTGTTGTATAATCAAAGTCAGTATCAGTGCCTTACAAGCCACACATTCCCCTTGATATAGGAGATGATATTCCCTGAAATGTGCTCATGGCACCTGGGGAAGCTTGTGACCGAAGCTTCTAAAGGAACAGGTCAAGCAGAAACTCCTCATTAATAAATTATCTGTGAATCTGTGCCGGCCACCCTCATGTGCACACACTTGAAAGCATGACAGGATACTGCCTGTGGGAATAGTGGTCCAGGTATCAGATGAATAACTATTTATAGCATGAGCTTTAAAGTTATGTTCAGTCACAGGGGGTAGTAGTCTAAAAGAAGAAATAGCTGGTATGTGACCAGAGGGTCAAACTAATTGAACTGTCTGCACTGTTAATCATGACAAAATGCATGAGGCAAATCATCCAAATCCAGTATAATTTAAATTAAAAGCTATGCTGTAAAATATTTGCCAAATTAGAAAACACTAACTCAGCCAGGGCTGCTCTTGGCAGTTATGGCAGTAATGATCAGACTCATGATGATGAGCGGCTTCTAAGTTGGACAAGTGGACAAGTTGGTGTGAATCAATTACCCTGACAAATGACCTATTTTGTAACTGTGGTAGTAAAATTAGTTAGGCATGAGGTAATTTAATTACATATAAAGAAAATAATCGTTTCTGCCTTAATATTGTTAGTCAACAGAAGGAGCCTCAAGGACCTTCAATTATGGCTGCTTGTGTGTGGGAGGGATGTTCAGAACATCCTTAACGATATGTTCCCTATATCACATCTGCGCAAATGGGCTCTATCTGGTAAATGGAGACACTTAATCTGACCTATTTATATCATGTTACATGTTATAAAACGCTGTTGAAGGGTATGAGCAGAAGCAAAGTAATATACACAAGTAACCTCAACTTGGACTTTTTTTTATCCTTTCATTTGTCATTTGTTGGAAGGTTTGGCAGGTAAACAAAAGATGACATGTGCACATGTAGGGACCATGTAACATCTTGAATGTCACTTTGGGTAACACATATGACTGTATTGTAGAGAAAACGTTGTCCTCTCTGATAACAAAATCCACATGGAATCCGACCAAATCGGACTTGTTGGCAGGCATTACGAATAACTATAAAATGGTCAACCTTCTTGCTGATGGTCTTGTTTGTTTATGTCATATTTGAGCTTAACACGCTCAAAACTGTGGAGATGACAGTGGACTTTAGGAGGAGCCCCCCAACTATTTCCCCCATCACCATACTCAACAGCCCTGTGTCTGCTGTGGAAACCTTCATGTTTTTGGGATCCACAATCTCCCAGTACCTTAAGTGGGAACCCAACACAGACACCATCATCAAGAGGGCTCAGCAGAGGCTGTACTTCCTGCGCCAGCTCAGGAAACTCAACCTGCCTAAGGAACTGCTGATCCAGTTCTACACTGCAATCATTCAGTCTGTTCTCTGTTCATCCATCACCGGTTTGGATCGGCTACCAGACAGGACAGAAATAGAATACAGTCAGGACTGTAGAGAGGATCACTGGTGCCAACCTGCCCTCCATTCAGGTCCTTTACCTGCCCAGAGTCAGGAAACGGGCATGTAACATCACTGCAGATCCATCTCACCCTGGACACAACCTGTTCCAACTCCTCCCTTCTGGTAGGCACTACAGAGCACTGTACGCCAAAACAAAGAGACACAGGAACAGTTTTCACCCACAAACCATCACTCTGACCAACAGTTAACTGCCCTGTATAATAACCTTAGGACTTCACTTATTTTCCATTGCTAAAAATTCAGTTTCAGTCATATTCACCTACCCCATGTACATAAAGATACCTGCACGCAAAATATTTATTTCAGCATCCTTTGCACTCTGCTCCATTGCACTATTGTCTACTGTGTACAAATGTTTGTTTATAGATATGTATAACTGTACATATAAGTCGGTCTTCTTTGTGTTGAACTTTTTCTGTTTATTTATACTGTTAATCTGTATTTGTACATTGAGAGCAATGTAAAACCGGAGTCAAATTCCTTGTATGTGCACACATACCTGGCCAATAAAAGTGATTCTGATTCTGATATAGAGGCATCAGTGTTAAATTTCATAACCTCCTTACAGTGTCTTTAACTTTAATGCTGAATAGTATTTGAAACACATTGTGCAAGAAGAATAGGTGTCAGGAAACAGACCAGACATTGCAAATAATTCAGTTCAATTCAATTCAAAATCAGACACTTTTGCTCAGGCAATCTAGCCAGGCTCTCTGGGCCATTTTCTATCAAGGACCTCTTTGATCTTATCTTCTCAGTGCACAGTCAGCTCAAAGCTCAAGTCTTGATGTCAAGTTTTTGAAGTTGGTAGTAAATAAATACTAATTAAAACGATCACAAACTGGAAACTGTGTTTGAGAGTGACACACCACACTTTGTAGTCTAGTAGCATGATAATATACTAAATAAAGGGATAAAACATATCATCAAGGGAACCGGTAGGAGGATACAAATCAAAAAAATCCAGTTGTTCTCACTGTATGCTGATTTATGTCCATGCAGTTATTCACATTTGAATGGCATATGGCATAGACAATTATGAGTTATGGGTGAGCAAGAAGCACAGACAATTGTAAGAAGTAAGCAAGAGAACATGAGAAAGCAGTGTGAGTGAGTGTGAGAGAGTGAGTGAGTGAGTGAGAGTGTGAGAGTGAGTGAGTGAGTGTGTGTGTGTGTGTGTGTGAGTGTGTAGAGTGAGTGAGTGAGTGAGTGTGTGTGTGTGTGTGTGTGTGTGTGTGTGTGTGTGAGAGAGAGTGAGTTTGTGAGAGAGTGAGTGAGTGAGTGAGTGAGTGAGTGAGTGAGAGAGTGAGTGATTGTGTGTGTGTCTGTGTGTGTGTGTGTGTGTGTGTGTGTGTGTGTGTGTGTGTGTGTGTGTGTGTGAGAGAGAGAGAGAGAGAGAGTGAGTGAGAGTGAGTGTGTGTGTGAGGGAGAGAGAGAGAGAGAGAGAGAGTGAATGTGCTTGATGTTCACAATAAAACCATGGCAAACAGAGCTCACAGACTGAAATAGAAGGGAAGACTAAAGGTACGTGGATGGCCCCACATACTGTGAAAAACGTATCTCTGAAGTCAATAAGCAGTAGAAAAGATTGTATGATTGCACTGAATGCAGACTGACAGTGAAGGTAAAACAGGGAAGATGCTCTTGGGTAATGAGTGCTACTTACTGAACACAACCAGGGAAACAGGTAGTTATATGAGTCGGTCAGTCCACCACTTTGGTCCAAACTGAAATGAACTATTTGATGGAACGCCACGAAATGTTGTACAGACATTCATAGTCCCCAGAGAAAGAACTCTTACTGACTTTGGTGATGCCTTGACCTTTCTTTTAGTGACACAATGAGGTTGACATTTGTTGGCCTCTAGTTAAATATCTTAATAACTAATCTAATATATCTTACATCTGTGAATAATAAGGCCCAGATGTTTTTTGGGACAGTATAGACAAAATGCAGTGGGGCATTTATCGTTTTTTCAGCATCAGATGTGTCAGACGCTCTGGCTAAATGATGTAGTAAATGCATCAGCTGGACTTTCTAGAGTTGCACCATCTGATGAGTAGTGATTGTGCAATTAATTGTCCTTACAAAAATGACCTCTTCCCTGTTGTTTCCCAGTGATTACGTTAGCTAGAGGTAAAAGACAACCAGAAGTGAAACCCTGGGGTTTCTTTGTGAAGGGACCAGCATCCAGCTCCTACAGCTTTGGGGCCTCATTTGGAAAAGTGTTAATTTTAGGCTTATGCATGAGGATGAATTTTGTCACCGCACATTCAAATTGAAGATGAGGAATCTTCTATGTATGTCATAGTTGTTGTATCCAATGAAAATGATCCGCAAAATTGCTAATCAAAAAATGACAGCATAGATGGTTTGACTGTGCATGCCTTTCTGATCTACCACCCCTATATATAGTTATGTTTAGGCAACTAAAACTAGTTCAGGTTTATGTTAGGGAAAGATCATGATTATAAACTAATACTGTATACCAGTTTCTGAAATTCAAATGATCTTCATAACAAAGCTGTTTTAATTAATATAGCCTGATTCTGGACTAAGAAAATCCATTAACAGTATATCTTCATTCTTTAAAACCCAAAACATTTTAACAGTGTAAAAAAGTACTTGTCAGTGCTCTCTGGTGGACAAACTATATAATGGTGACACAGCCAGGCCTGTCTCTAGCTCTAATGATGAAAGCACTATTTTCGGGGCCCACAGTAACTCACCAGGCTGAGTCCTTACCGCAGGGGCCTGGGTTTGATTCTACCTGCAGCCCTTTGGTGCATTTTGACAACATTTGGTTTTAATTATAGGAAAACTTGCTTTACAAAGTACTGTGACAAATATTTAGTTCTCACGGTTGCAATATTTCTTTAACACAGAAGCAAATGTATTAACACAACTGCTGAAGAAGAAAGCTGCTTTTTTTTAAAAAAGTATGATTCTCCTGTGAATAGGATATAAGTGTTTAGTTACACTAAATTGATGTGACTTAAAAAGGAAGGGAAACAAGAAAAAACACCAAAATATATCAATCCATCATCCATCCATTACACTTACAAATTACACGTGTATAGATGATCAGAAATCTATGTTGAATGCTCCATAGTGACCACAATAATCAAAAGAAATATGTGAATGAAAGGTTTTGATGCTCATGAGTCTTTTTAGCAACACATCTATTTTTTCCAGTGCTGCGAGAGAATTCTCTACATGCATACAGCCTATTAATGATCAAATTTCTTGTTGCTGTGGTTGATAAATACATGCACAATGATGTAAAATGTACGTGCTATGAACTCTTTAACTTTGTAGAAAATGGATCTTCTGTAAAATAAATGAAATTCTGCTTGATTTGAACATTCACATCCGGGCTGTGGCCAAATGAATGTAGTCAATTTGTCTGAAACTGCAGCTTATATGACCGTTTGGAAGCAAGCGCAGTCCTGTGTTCTCCAGAAAAAACTCCTGGAAAATGATGTTAAAAAGGGTAGGAATCCTGCAAATGTATCTGACTACTCTGAGAATGGTTTGTCTAAAAATGCACTGCCATGGGTTCTACCCCTTCAGACCCTGTGTCCATTACAATGGACGTCACATGACAGGGGCTTCTTTTTTACTTTTTGCAACATTTAACACCACTTGAACCCTCAAGTCCATTGAACTGAACGTTTTATCAACCAATCAAACGGCAGTATAGCTTTGCTTGTTGATGTATGAAAAAAATCCACCACAAGGAAGAGAGGCATGGCAGGGTTTCCACTCCACACGTCGAAGTGAGGATCATTTTCAACAGTTTTACTCACATTTATAGATATTTGTGCCAAGATTTCATAGTTTTGATATAATATTGAAAGATGGAATGTATGAATAGAAGTGTAATATCACATGTTTCAGTGCAAGTTCTTACACAGGATTTTTTCAAATATCGCTGTCCATTAGAATGGACAGTGGGTCAGACACCATGTTATTGAACTCAATTGGTCAGTATTGATGAATTACATTATTACTATAAAAACAGTACATCAGAACAAGAGAATGAGTTGATAATCAGTTGAGAATATTCCAAATGCAGAACAAACAAAAAAAAGAAAATAAAAAAAATTATATTTTAAAACTGTTTGGACCTTATAAAAAAAACATCATTTGAACTGTTAGAGTTTATGTTCCATGTGATGTCAATGTGACAATTATAAGACAAAAAATAGGTATGATGTTGTCATATGATGTTGGTATTTCAACACCTGTTTGGACCCGATGTCCATTGAAATGGACAAGAAAAATAACAGAGAGTTTTAAAGAGTTTTGATAAAACATTTTTTTTTATTGATTCTCATTTCTGGTTGCACTAAGGATGGGAAAAAGTCATTATTATATTTTTTCACAACCTTGGAACATAAGCATAATTATTAAACTCTTAATAATAAAGCAATTTCTTATTTTCTTTTTCTTTTCTTGCTTCCGATGACACAGGGAATAAACAGTTTTTGATACAAATCCCTGGAATAGCCGAGGCCTCCGCAGTGTGAACACCTGTAGCGTTAAATGCCACTCACTTTTTGATGGACAGCCTCATATGCCGCAGGGGCCTAATTAAACCCGCAGCACAGGTGTGATCCCTGTGCTCTTCCCCCGTCTCTCTTATTTACATCAACACATAACATAAGGCAGAAAAACCGATCCGAAGCAACAGATTGCCAAGCTAAACACATTTGTAACCCTGGAAAATGAAGGTGCCAGAGGAGGAATTAATGAGCGATATACTGAAGCGGTTAACGGGCGAGTCTGCGCTCCCTGTATACAGCAACATTGAAAAGTTCAAACGAGGAAAGAACGGCCTGTACTTTGTCGCCGAAGACTTCAATGAAACTGTGAAAAAAAGAGAATTGGTCAACGCCAAGGAACGACTGAGAGTGAGTATTCATTGGGAATAGAATTGTCTGAATAAATGTTTGAGAATATGTCAAACTCGGTTAGCCAACATTTGCTGGCAGGTAGCTAGCTAGCTGTTCCCTCCCCTGTTTATCCTGACCTGCAGCGTTAGCTCGCTGTAAACGCACCTTCCAGGAGTCTGTCTGTCACTATGTTCCACACACCACCAGTCATCCTTATTTACAAACTCACCTTATATGTATTTCCATGCAGCATTATTTAATACACAGAATTTACCCTTAGCCAATATTTGGTAAAACACAGACATGAATCTTGTTTTAAGAGTTGTGTTTTCATAAACACAGTTAAACTTGGAAAACAAATGAATGGCTATTTAAAGTTTATGATGTAAAAAGTTTTCCTCCATTCTCAAATGTCAAATATGACTTAAAATTGGTGTCTTGAAAATATTAGACCTAATTCTGATAGTGTTGTGGCAGTAATAACTATTTTGAAAGGGTTGGTGAAACATTTGGTGTGATATCTTAGTTTGAAATGCTGAGGGTACTTGTGGTACTTGAAGGCTGAAGTGGGATGTGAGACGATAACACCAGCAGTGGCCCCAAGCCAATTTGTTTAAATGATTGTTGCATAACTTCAGAGATCACTCTATTATCTAATGTGGCACATAGTTAATATGAAACTTCAGCCTGCCCCCTGTGCAGATCAGGAACTTGAACACCATGTTCTCCCGGCTCAAACGGATGGTGCCACTGATGCGACCTGACCGGAAACCCAGCAAAGTGGATACACTTAAAGCTGCGACGGAATACATTCGATTGCTTGTAGCAGTTCTGCAGGACACTGACAGTGTAAGTACTGCATTCATCAGGAGTCTATCAGTCTCATAAGTGTCCTCTGCTGTTTTCCAAGGACAACACTGCCACTTCCACTGTTGATTAGTGTTATTTTCTATTTCTCAGGATGATGGCAGTGGGACTGATTTCCTAAAGAATGCAATCACTTATGGACAAACTGAAGGCTTGAGCAACGACCTATGGAGAGTGGATGACGTGAGTGTTTTTTCCCCATTGTGTTTGTACAGTGGATATAAAAAGTATACACACCCTTGTTAAAATGCCAGGTTTTTGTGATGTAAAAAAAAATAGAGATTAAGATAAAGATAAAGATAAGATAAATCATGTCCACACTTTTTCCACCTTTTAATGTGACCTATAATGTGAACAATTCAATTGATAAACAAACTGAAATCTTTTAGGTGGAAAAATAAAAAACTTACAATAACCTCATTGCATAAGTGTCCACACCCTTAAACTAATACTTTGTTGAAGCACCTTTTGATTTTATTACAGCACTCAGTCATTTTGGGTAGGAGTCAATTAGCGTGGCACATCTTGACTTGGCAATACTTGCCCACTCTTCTTTGCAAAAGCGCTCCAAATCTGCCAGATTGTGAGGGCATCTCCTGTGCACAGCCCTCTTCAGATCACCCAACAGATGTTCAACTGGATTCAGGTCTGGGCTCTGGCTGGGCCATTCCAAAACATTAATCTTCTGACCAGCAACATGTCATCAAGCGCCTCTTCTTCTGGTGAAGCCATGCTTTTGTTGATTTGGATGTATGCTTTGGATCGTTGTCGTTCTGAAAGGTGAAATTCCTCTTCATCTTCAGCTTTCTAACGGAAGCCTGAAGGTTTGGTGCCGAAATTGACCGATATTTGGAACTGTTCCTAATTCCCTTAACCTTGATTAAGGCCTCGGTTCCAGCTGAAGAAAAACAGCCCCAAAGCATGATGCTGCCACCACCATGCTTCACTGTGAGTATGGTGTTCTTTGGGTGATGTGCAGTGTTGTTTTTGTGCCAAACATACCTTTTGGAACTATGGCCAAAAAGTTCAACCGTGGTTTCATCAGACCATAACACATTTTCCCACATGCTTTTGGGAGACTTCATGTAATTTTTTGCAAAATGTAGCTGGGCTTGGATGTTTTTCTTTAAAAGAAAAGGCTTCTGTCTTGCCACCCTACCCCATAGCCCAAACATATGAAGAATACGGGAGATTGTTGTCACATGTAGTACACAGCCAGTACTTGCCAGAAATTCCTGCAGCTCCTTTAATGTTGCTGTAGGCCTCTTGGAAGCCTCCCTGACCAGTTTTCTTCTCGTCTTTCCATCAATTTTGGAGGGGCGTCCAGTTGTGCCATATTTTCTCCACTTGATGATGACTGTCTTCTCTGTGTTCCATGGTATATCTACTGCCTTGGAAATTCTTTTGTACCCTTCTCCTGACTGATACCTTTTATCAATGAGATCTCTCTGATGCTTTGGAAGCTGCAGACAATGGCTTTTGCTCTAAGATGCAACTAAGAAAATGTCAGGATTCTAGTACATAGGCAAGGCAACCATGGAGGTGACTGCTACTTTGATATTCTGATGTGTATGTAAACAACCTCATATCAAAGGTTGAACCTTACAGTTGTTGTTTCATCATATGTGCTGTTACATTACATAGACGTATGGACTGCAGCAGGGTAACACAACTGTTATGTCATAAATCAGACCAGCAACATGTCATCAAGCGCCAAGGCCGTGACCCCTTTTTGGGGAAAGAATATCTGTTTCTCATCTTATTATTATACCGTATATATTTAATTCATTTTAACTGTCATGGATTCACTTTCTACTATTTGATAGTAGAAAAATCAGTTTTTGGCTGGACCTCAGAAAGTAGGTCAACAAGCAAATTGCCCCTCTGCTTTTTTCTAATCACATATAGAGCTGATCCTTATAATAACGTCAAATTATGCATGTGTTCATGGATAATACATGATCTTAGACCTAGTCTAGCTATATATTATTGTATTTTTACTGGCATGCTTTTTTTTCTGACAGTTGCTGAACATGTCAGATGAGCGCATGGAGGATGCATTTACTATGTCTCCAGAACCAGTGACAGAGGACGGGGATATGACCAGACTGGTGTTGCAACATTGTGTGATGCCTGCATACCAGTTCATCATCCAAGTAGCACCTGATCAGACTTCGGTAACTCCTTTGAACTTTTCTAATATTAATTATAATTCAAATTAATTCAAATTTTCTGCTTGGTGATTATCAGCTGCACTCCAGCTACATTTCTCATGCTGGTCAGGGAGCTGTTGTAGTGCAGCAGTTGTGAATATGGACTGTTGATTAAGAACCAATTTTATGCAAGTATTTTCCAAGTCAGTCCATCAATTCAAGGGAAAAGCTTCAGTCAAGACTCAGAAAGACAAAATTAATAGATATGTATCAGGCTATACATTTACCACCCTAGGTTCTTTGTATTTGATTAAGTGGACATCACATTGGTTACGCTACGATTATTACAGGCTTCTGTCATGAAGGGGGCGTGACACAGTGTTAACAAGAATTCAAAATTGAATTGAAATTTTATATATATATATTAGTATTTCAAGAACGTCCCCATTTTTTGCATGTCAGTCTCATATCTCAGTTTATTTCTTGTCACCTGTATAATTAAACAAAAAACATGGTGCTATGTATATACAGAATGGGGGACAGATTACAAACGAATGAATCGTGAATAACTCAGAAGAACAATTTTGCATTAATTGAAGTGTTCAGATCACTGGGCATAATATTTTGATTACATTTTCAGCATCAATCGGCCTGCCATTACAGAAATACTCATGGATCAGATACTTATTCCAGTCAGGGCTTTTTGGTGAAGGTTGTGACCAAACTGTGTCTGACTTGACAGATGAGATGCTCACAGGAGTAAAATACAATGACATCAACATTTGTACTCTGTAATATAGTCCAATACAATAAATCATAACCTGAGCAATGCACAATACAAAAGGGTGGAAATAAATCAACACTGGCCAGTCATTTGGTGCAGTGGTCATATAACGTGTATTTTCACCACCATAAATTATATGCAGCCCCTTCTTTTACTAAAGAAAAGGATAAAATCAATTCTGATGTAATTTACTTGACTCATGAAATTCAGAAATCCTATAGAGGCATATGTATTTAGATATTCACTAATCCTTCATAAAACATCTACGGACAACCTTTTGAATGTTTGAGCATAACAAATTAAGTTATAAGCCATATAAGTAAATGAATTCCTGCTGCTATTGGAGTATGCGTTGTGAAACTAATATTCTTTTATAGCCATTGCTTTTTCTTTTTTTGGTATGTTTGCTTTAAAGGTGAAGTAAGCGATTCTGTAGAAATCCAATACCATGACGTGACATGAAGTACCACGATATAGTGCGAACAACGACACAGCATGTAATGTAACTAACGTTAACTATGTCGTGAATTAGCAAACTGTTGCTAAAGTTGCTGCTGTGTAGTTAACATGCAGAGAGGAGCCAGAGCCAGCACACCAGCTCCAGACAGCGGTACTCAAAACTATCCTGCTACTAGGGAGACCAGACCCACCAAATTTGGGACTGCACAGCATTTTTATCCCTTGTCCCATGTTGCACATACTGTATTGAGACGATGTCCAACATTTTGATTGGCTCTAGTTTCCAAAAGTCAAATCACTCAGGACAGATGCTTATCTAAAATTAGTTTTTTATCCAATTGCTGTGAAGAAAACAGGAAAGGCTGTCATTTGGGGGCCATGTGTTTGATGTCAATCAAACTGCGCACAGGTGGATCAAGTACAGGTTAAACCTGTCTCTGCCTTGGTTATGCTGTGCCCAGCAGGGAAAACACAAAGTCACAACTATGCAGTTTTAGGCGGAATGTTATACAAACTACAATAAAGAACAGGAAATGCAGCAACAACAAAGACTGGGAGTTAGAAAAGTTGCTCTCAGATAAGATATATTTAAGTCCTTCCAGGGCTCCAGACTTAACTTTTTGCATTGGTTGCACTGGTGCACCTAACTTTTTTTTTTTTTTTTTAGGTGCACCAGCACAAAATGTAGGTGCACCCAAATTTTTCATTGCGTCACCTTTAACTCCATAAGGTCACCTTTTTATCGCTCTCCATAACTTTCATATAATGTGAATGATTTTTAAACAAGAATAAGGTGTAGAGAAATGCTTGTCTTTATTTGAAGCACAATTATATATAAAAAGGAAAATAAAGTGTTTTAAGTGCTTCACTGAGCTGAAATTGAAACTAAATTTCAAACTAAAACACTAAGCAAAATAAAACATTTCCAGATAAAAGTTCGATACGAAACGTTGTTGACCCGCTCACGAATGCACTATTTCCGGCCATATTCTGACCGCACTCCTGACAGTACACGCAGTGCATTGCATTGCGTTACGTCCTTTGTTGTACCTCAGCCAGGGAAATTGTTTCAGCCAGTCCTGTCTGAAGGAATATATTTTGACCATTTTAATTTCCGAGTCTGATGCTGTCGCCGAAGGACCAGGGCTCGGCAATTTTTAAACACACGCAATTGTGCGGTGAACAGGACCACAGCCAATCAGAGGCAAAGACCCGCCCGAGCTCTGTCTCTTATTGGTTTAGAACACGATATGATCCTACCATGAGTGTGTGAGTTCGGTCACAGGAAAACACAGAGAGATGATGCGCTTGCGAAATAAATTTATGTAATAATAACAATAATAATGTTATGTTTATGTTCACTGGGCAGCGTCAGGTGCACCAGTGTGACTTAGAAAAATTATTAGTCGCACTCTTAAAAATTTTGGTCGCATGTCGCACTCTGGAGCCCTGCTTTCACATGCTAAAGGATTTTTGGTACATTGGTAATGTGTCCCACACAAACATACTCCCTCATTTGGTTTGTTGGGATCTGGTCACCCTACCCGCTGTTATAGCTATATCTTAGCATACATTGGCCAACTAGAAGGTAAGCTGAATGCCCGTGGGCAAGCCATTTACGGTTACCTTCCCATTTACAGAGCGAGGGCTGTGTATGACCACACAGAGGATAAAGCTAGTGGACTGTGATTTGATGAATCACTGTATTGGAATCGTGTTACTTAGAATCCCCCTACCTTTAAATGGTTTCCCCCAGGCAACAATTTGGTTTGTGAATGGAAATCATTGATTTTTTTTTTTTTCTTTTGTTCATTTAGTGATCACTTACTTTTATAATTCAGTTGATAGGCTAAGGAAATACAAAATCAGCTGTAGTCACATGGTGTAACCTTTCAATCACAAGACGGGCGGCCTTCAAACAATAGGCAATCAGATGCATGTTTAATTCCTGAAATGATCTGGCAGGAATACTATACAATTACAACTTGCAATCAACACAATTTTTTCTTCGGTGTTACCCTAACATCTGAGACATTCAAACCGTCCTCACAAGTACCTCCTTATCTGATTGGATAATTCAAGGTGAAGAGGTTTAGATCAAGACAAGACAAGAGTATTTTTCACAGTTCCCACACTTGTGCCATTATGCTGTTCAGGTTTTAACCTTACTGTGGCTGTTACCAAAGCTGTTGGTTGAGGTAAACAAGCCTCAGATGAGGAAATGTGTTTGACGTGAAAACTAGAAGCTTTAGTACAACAGAATTTTTTTTTAGAATTATAGTGCTCCTTTTATAATTGTTTATTCCTTAAAGTTCCTTAAAAAACTGTATAAAACTGTATAAACTCAGACATGATCAGCTTCTTCTTCATTCCACAGATGTCTCATCCCTTTTGAGTGGTGTTCAGAGCAGATGGCTTGGACCAGTATTGGAAACCTGCCAGGTTGTTTTATTTTAAATACATAAATATCAAATCAGTTATCTGAAATACAGGGCAAATCTAGATTACTAAAAGTTGGAACTTTTTTCTGGTAAACCTTTAGTAGTTTAGTAAACTTTTAAAACACTGCAGGGTGTAAATGAGTATGTCAAAAACAAATACAATATCAGGAAGCCTATAATAATGTGATTTTTATTTATTTATTAATTGTAGTAGTATTAGTACCAGATCCAAATATGAACATTGATCCAAAAGTATACAAATGTTGCCCCCATGTGGTCTGAAAGATGATTTCATTTTGATGATGAAATTTTCAATTGGCAATCAGTACAAAATAATCACAGGCCTTCCTCACAGAAGACATGTGACAACAGGAAAAGCACACATGTAAATGATAAAATTAATTGTAATTGTATATACATTGTATGTACATAAACCTCAGGATAGGAAGTTCTTTTTAAAATACAAAAATTTGAAATCATTGGTTATCTTTATTGGTACCGGGCATGAGAAGCAGGTGATTATCGGTCATATCAGCTGAAGACAAATCCATAGTGTGCATCCCTAAAATGGTTGATGTCTGAGTTACATGTCGCTGCCTCAGTTTCAGGTTCCTGCTGCTGTTCATGCTGGTTCACTGTCACACTGCCATGACTTCCTGGGACACTTGAATAGAACAGATCCCGTTTTAATGTTGATAGTAACAACTGTGCTTTCCCTGCGGTAACAAGTCAAAATATGTGCTGTGATATTGTTTCATTGCAGTGGGCTAGCTCGTTCAGTTTCCCAACCAGAGTTAATGTTAGTGTGCTAATGGTACTATTCATTACTGTTTAGTGTTAAGGCCTGGTATCTTCTGCCACCACCACTACACTGACACTGTACAGGTCCACACACTAGCACACGCCTTCAGTTATTCTGGATGATTAAACCTCTGCTCAGTTTGAAATTAGGTGTGACTGGTACTGTATTGTACTTGCATATTATTTTTTTTATTTTGGAGCATAGTAGAAAATAACATTTTTAGAGTAGTTCTTCACATTGATTTGAAATACATTGTTACAGTGCCCTCTTCTGGTTGAATGTTTCAAGTTTGCTGCACCCAACATCACTGTAAGTGGGATCTGTTGCACCTGTAACTAGAGCTGCAACGATTAGTTGATTAATCAGTTAGTTTTCAATGATTAACATAATCACCAAATAGTTTGATAATTGATTAATTGTTTTTAGTCATTTTTAAAAAAGAAATGTCCAAATTATTATATGAAAATTAAATAAATTTCCGCTTCTCAAATGAGAATATTGTCTGGTTTCTTTAGTCCTCTATGACAGTAAACTGAATATTTTGGGACATTTGAGGATGTCACTGTGGGCTTTGGGAAACCATGATCAACATTTTTCATTTTATTGACCAAATTACTAATTAATTATTAATTAATTGGAGAATGACAACAATTAATCGAAAATGAACTTACAGGGACGCGAGGGTGTAATAAAAACACCATATCAGTGCAGTGTGGTGGTGGCGGTGGTGTGAGACAAGTCAGTGTATTAAATGCAGTAATTGTGTTCTTTCATATAAAATAATTCTTGTTTTATTTTTTAGGGGCATGTTGCTTTGAAGAAAGGATTTTTCTCCAAGAAAATGCTATTTTATTTGTATTATTTAATTTAACTTTTCAAATTGAAATTTTGTTTGAGTAAATATGAATGTGTTTTTATTTTAATGTAACAAACTGCTTCATTGGCAGCCCAGAAATACAATGTACAAGACAGCTTTCTTTTTTTGAATTTCTGTTTTTAAAGTGTTTGTTGTTCTGTCTCAGTCCAATAGATGCTTTCTCATTCAACACTTCATAGTACCAAGAATTATGTTTGGTGAATATTAAATTAATATTATCAGCTTTCATTTTTTCTCTTTTTTTTATACATATTTGTGGCTTGCATGATGTTAATTTGTCCATATAATTGAATGGTGTGTTCGCCAAGTTGTCTTATGTTGAAAGCTTTAATTTCAGGTTTCGACCACTGCAACTGGCAATATCAAAACGTTGTAATGACCCATAGTGATTGATGTTTTAATTTAATACATTATGTCATTTAGGACAGATGTCCAGATTAGTATGCGTTATTAAAATTGCAGTGGTGGAAGTCATCAGAATGATCTGTTAAGTAAAAGTAGCAACACCACAGTATAAAAATACCCCGTGCTTTCAGATGTTTACCCAAATCAAAAGGTCATAAGCATTCAGCCAAATGTACGTATCAAAATGACCAGTACTCATTATGCAGAATGCTTATATTTTTGGGTTATTACTGATACATTAAGAGTGGAGCAGCATTTTAATAGTGTAACTGTGAATTTAAACTTTCATTGTGGTGTCCAATAGTCAGATGATCAATAACAGTAGTGTCTGAAATCAGTGGTTCCCAACCTCCTGTAGTCCCTTCAGAAGAACTCAAGTTCATCAGCAACACCAGCCGTGTTCTGTGTTCATTTGAATTGATTTGAAACTGGATGTTATTTAACACGATTGACTATAAAAGTGAATATTATTAGAATATTCTTTGCATACAGTTAAACATTCAGTCTTTTGGTTTGCTTAACTTTTTGTTTGTACTGCTTGTGACACATGCTTGATGTTTCATCCATTTTTAGAAGATTTTTAAAAATCATTTATACATTTTCTTTAGCTAACTTTTGACATTACTTTTAGCTATTTCAGCTATTTATCCCTTCTCTGCTCACTTACTAACTAGTTTTCATAACTCAATATGTTGGTATATATGTTTTTAATGAAATTCTAATTTTAATCTTTTTTAAATTAGTGGTGTTACTCACACACTCCTGGCAACTGCAGAAGTATCCATTGGTACATGTACCCTTGGTTTTGGAAATCTTAGATGATCTAAATCTATATTTTGTATGTCAAATCTTTATTTGCGAAATAACCAGTAACCACTGCTGTCAAATAATTGTAGTGGAGTGAAGTGAGTGCAGTACAATATTTCCTTCTGAAAAACAGTGGAGTATAAAGTGGCAGAAAATGAATATACTCAGGTAAAATACAAGTACCTCTAACATATACATAAGTACAGTCCTTTTGAAAATACACTGTTATTTTTCTACAATTGTTTCTTTGAGGGGGGAATTCTCCATTCAGATGTGGCAACCCATCTCAAACCTCTGACATTTTGCGGTGTGCAGACTCTTCTCCAGCAGAACAGCAGGTGGCGCCTGTTTGACGTGCTATCATTTGTCCCGCTTGAACTGGGCCTGTCCAACTGAACGATCTGGGAGACGGCATTAGAAAGCCACCAGGGCTGCACGTAAGCTTTTTACAAACACAATAACCAAGTGCATTGCCAAGATTGATTCTAACTGTAGTTGCATGAGCGGGGGGAGCCCTCGGCTGTCAGACTGTGGACAGGCGTGGCAGTGGGCTGGTCCAGACGCACTGAGCGGTGAAAAACCTCGGGGTCGTTTTGACTTGGTATCAGCTGAGGCCCTGAAATAGTCTGACAAAGGAACCCTGGTGTCGGAAGCCAGCACTGACAGATCTGCTGTAATTACCCACATCTGCTCGCTCTGAGGACGGCTGTGGGCTGTGGGTGTGCCGCACCCACACGGAACACACGCTCCTGAGGATGCACTGAGGTGAGTACGCTGCCTGCTGTGATATTGTGTTTAGTTGAGTCGAACAAGGCTATCATGGGGAAATGGCTGGGCGTAGTACAGAGTCCTCCCTGACGCGTGCATGAGCGGTGTGTGCGCATTTCACTGATGTCTCACGGTCCCGTCCTCACTGCCTGATGTTTACCATTTGGTTCTGTGTCGTTCGGCGCACATATATGGCGCTTGTATAAAATGAGTAGAATTGCACCCTGTCCATTATTGCCCATGCGTTATGTCTCCATTGTGCTCTGCAGATAAAGGCTCGTGAACGCGTCCAAGGTCCCATATGTGCGGTCTGTGAGAGTGAGACAGCGGGTGTGTGATGGCAGAGCCTTCTCGCTGGCTCTAATCCGGCTCATTAGCGTGCCAGTGATTGTTGTGCTTTTCACGGTCGTCGTGTTCCGCACGGTGTCAGGATTAATATTCGGGAAATGAGAAGCTATTGATCTGAAACGTGGTGGTTTTGATGCGCGTTGAGCTGGGCTCTTTACAGACTGCGGCCGCGCAGTGTTGAGCCGTCGCTGCCGCTGCTGGCCTCTGCATTGTGCGGGTGGCCATTAGCGGATCCTCCGCTCTGCTGGTGCTGAGGCTGCAGCGCGTGCTAGTGTTGCGAGTGTTGCTAGGCAGCCATGCAGAGCGCGGGCCGCGAGCGGGTGCAGGAGCGGAGGATGCTGGAAAGCCAATAAAAGCATACCGTGCTTTCACGTTGAAATACGGTGCTGCAGATACACACAACATGGTGCCCTGGCCCTCACGTGACTATCTGGTCAACAGGCCTGTCCTCCGCGTCCTGTGGGAGCGGGGTATGCAGATTGTCATCTCCCACAGCACAATGGCAGACACTGAACCTAGGATGGATTGCTCTCAGCCACAGCAGTGTAGAAGTTCTTGTCTACATTCAGTGTCTATAGTAACTATATAATGTGTCAGGTGTTGAATTACTGTATGGTGCCCTGCATAAATGAACCCTTTTTATAAAATATTTAATTATAGAAACTGAGACAATATATTTGAAAATCATGTGATGTTGCTGTTTTCTTTAGTCGAAAACAACTTTAATATCCAGTTTGTAGTTACCGAAATTTCAAACATGACGGCCAAGTAAACATATTGTTATGATTAGTTGATATTTAACACTGACCAAAATACTATACAAGGTCTGTTAATTAAGCTTACACAAGAGATATGTGTATATTTGCTGATTCCTGGAGTTCTTGCATCATCATTCCGTGTTTTCTGTCACCTAAGGAGTTATAAGCCAATAATATGTAGTGGGAAAAAAACCAACTGTAATGGGAGTCTGTCACTTGCTGTGTTTTCAGCTGCTTTCCATTTGCTTCTCTCTGAAGTGTTTTGTATATTTTGATTTGTTCATTCACAGTTCGTGCAGCTTTCCAAGGTGAAAGACAAACGTCCCATTAGAGGCTGTGGGGACAGGAATGTCCTCCTACACAAAGTCAACAACATTTATCCTGCCTCTATATCATTTATGCTTTAATGCATTTTCATTTTGTGTATGCTGCATCTCTGCAAGCACTCAGTCCACTAGATGTTTAGAGTTAATGAGTCTGTTTTTTGGGGGGGTTGAATACAGCAAAGTTTCCCTTGTACATTATGTAAAGATACTATAGTCATTTAGTTTAGCGTCGGCTAATCTTGTTTTGTCTTGTGTTAGGTGGAACTATTAGATTGAAAGTCACGTGTGAAGATGAATTATGTTAAATTAAAATGCATTTTCTTGCCGTTATATTGTAGGTGCATGTTATGCATAAGTGGCTGTATAATTAATCAGTGGGGTGATCATTAATTCATTCAACAGGCTAATGTGACATCTAAACAAGTTTTGCATTGCATTATAAAGAGTTGCTTGGTTGTGAAAGATGAATAGGTTTTAACTTTATCTTATTTTGAAAAACTGCTAGTAAATGTACCAGTTTATTAGTTACATTACTGGTCGGGATCCACTGTCCTGCCATTATGACATAAACCTGAAGCCAACGAAAATCAATCCAGAGCTACTTAGGTAATTATACCCCTGTCTGCCTCTCTGCTGCTGGACGTCAGTGCTCAGACACAGACCTCCTGAAACCACTGTGAGTGGGTAGATTTACAGCAGTTAATACATGCATGTATATGTGAAGATAATGTGCACCAATATTAGAAAATTGCCTATTTATTTCACCTCTTTTTATTGGTAAGGCCAAAAATGTCATCTGGCAGCAGAGCACAGCAGCATTACATTTGTTGTGTGTTCTGGTGAAGGATGCCACAGCGAATAATATTTGTATAAGTTTTAAACTATTTAAACAATGCTGAAATTCAGGTTTTGCAGTTTGGTAAGAACCCAGCTCTAGAAGAGGAGAGACATGAAATCAGCCTCCCCTACTTCTTGAGATTTTATGAAACAAAAGGGAGGTGATGATGCATCACGGTCAGCCATCACAGTGCGACTGAGGATAAGAGGAGGAGGCAGCGATGGTGGGCCAGCAGCCAGATCTCTGTCTCCCCTTAGTCATTAGGACCCTCCCTGGAGAGAGAGGCTTTCTGTCTGGTGCCTGTCAGCAGCTGGGCCCTTGCTACCCCCAGAGAGAGTCATATACCCTGTGAGCCAGCCTCTATTGTGAGAGCAAAAGAGAGCTTATGCCTCCAATTTGGGCTTTTTATAGACTGACTGTCTCTTATAGTTGTAAAATAACATCCACCTGAATACATTTGAATGTTATAAGTCAGGTATAAATATCTGTGAGTGCTTAA